TTTATAATAATTGTCAATGTTTGATAGGTGCTAACTATGAGCAAAGCCCTAATATTTCCAGATATATTAAATTATTTAATATCATTACAACATCATAGACAAGTATTTTATCTCCACTTACAGATAAGGAAATTGATGCCTAGAATTAATATGCGCAGGCAGCCAAGAAGTACCAGGACTGGGATTTGAGCATCAACGTATATGACTCTGGAGCCCATATTTTTGTCATACTCCTGTCCCCTCTTACACATCCTTATTTCTTTTTATCATTAAAGGCTCGCCTTTGTCATGCTTTTTGCCTAAAGCTTTATGCCTACCTGTTTTCTTACTTACAGCTTTAATCTTTTCCTGTGTTGTTTGATACTTGAATAATCAGACCTCTAGAATGGAATTCTATCAAATAAGCCCAGTGGGCCAGTGTGTGGCTATGGGATTCTACTGCAGACCTCACCGGAACCTTACAAAAAATAGTGTTGAGAGTGAAAATGCGGATAAATTTAAGTTCCCTGCAGTATTATTTGGAAAGTGATGATTATAATGAAGAAGAAGTGTCAGAGTGTGACTACCAACACCCTAAAAATCTAATGATGTATTTGGAAGAATGAATGTTGCAGGATTTTGTTTCTTTAATAACTCATAAAAGTGAGATAATATGTTAAAGGGCCTAGTTGCCCCTACCCCTGGTCAGTAACACCCTACATTTTATGTATAGCATTAGTTCTAGAAGTACATCCCTTTTTTGATGTTTCAAACACCTCTTTTACTATGAAATGTTGTTTAGGCGTATCAGTATGGCTAATTATAATATCTGGTTTCCCAAGACTCAAAAAAGCTATCCTTTAACATCTGAAATTCGGAGTATCCGAATCTTGAAAATTTCTTAAAGTTTCTATTAAGTGACCCTTCACTGAAATCCACCATGTGTAAACATTGGGCTAGGAGCCGTGAAGCCAAAAAAGTGAATCACACAGATTTACAATCAAAGTGCTTAATATAGTTGGGGAAATAAGAGTCATACATATGCAGACCATATTGTAGACGGTTATTCCCCAAATAACCTCTTGTTAGCTAGTGAGTGGGTGGGACCAGGAAATCTGCTGCCAGAAAAAAAAATCAGAAGCAGACCCTTGAAGCTAAGTCTGATACAGTATGAAAGAGCTTTCTTTTTCCATTCTGCCTGCCCTGCAGTTTTGTTTCGATTTTGTTTTACAGACAGGGGTGTGGGAGAGGAGGACTTGGTTTCCTTACATTCACTAGGTTTTGATTGAGAAACAGATTTTCTGTGACTCTGGGCTTCCCAGGGGACCTCTGAGCACAGACTCACCCCAGAGTGACAAAAGAGGGCCCGACAGTCCCCAGAACAGGGACAGCACATTTTCATTTTTCCTAATTTGCCTCCACTCTGAGGCAGCTTTTGACCCTGAGCCATCTTGTCGGGTGCCTCAGGGCTAGGACACTTCTCAGGACCCCTGCTGACTGTGGCCTTTCTGATACATTAAAGAGGCTCTCATCTGGCTGGTCCCAGATGCATGACCATTATCAGGCCCTGTAGTCTTTCATTGCAGGGAGAAGAATAGAAATACAGGTGAGCTCTGAAAGGGGTCTCAGGGACAATCAAGAAATATCTACCTCAGTTGTTCTTGCTTATTTGATTAGACTTCTGCTGATAATGATCTATTTCTCGGTGGCAAAGTAGACTCAAATTGGTCAACTTCCTGCTTGGACTGTATGTAGAAAAAAGCCTAGCTTCACGTTGTCCGGGCTATAAAGAAAATTCCTGCCCTTTAGAATTTCTTCACTTCCCATTCACATCCAGCTAACATAAGATAAATAAACAGTATTCCTGTTGGCCAACCCAGTCACAATTTTAAATTCCTATGATTCTACTGAAGAATAAGTAATTGATGCAAATCACAAATAGGACAGTGTAATAAAGCAAAGTAGGAGCCTGACAAATTCCAAAGGTCATTTTGTTCTATAATAAATGTGTACTTGTCACGTGCAGATAAACAATAGGATAATTTAGAAGAAGCAGTAGGATTATTTAGACTTCCTGCTGGGGGATATCTGAAAAGACTTCATGGAAGGCAGGGCATTGAACTTGAGGTAGATGGGAAGGATTGACCCTCCATAGTATACGCAGTTAAAAATGAACAAAAGGAATTCTGAATGTTGGGGTGTGGTTGAGTCTGGAGTACCATAAATATGTTGTAGTTTCCAGGACTTCTTTAGGAAAGATGGAAAATTAATTGCTTTTACTAATAGGGAGAACTTTACATTAGGTTTACATTAGATTTAGATTAGAAATTTACATTACATTAGATTAGTATACAAGGTCTTTGTGTACTAGTGTTGGCAGCCTGTGAAAGGAAAGGATGAATCCAAAATTCCCTCAGATACCTACCTTCTCTTCCTTAGCAGGTTGTCCTTACTGTCTGTTTCTTTGAGAACAGTGAGGCAAACCCTTAGTTTCTCACCCTAGTACTTACAAATTTACCTGTATCTGCAGTCAACGCTCCAGCTTGTTCAAAGTTAACTCCTTCCCCAAAGCTCTTCGTATACTCACTAGCAGTTTCTTCTATTTCACATTTTTATCAACTTTCTCTGATTCTTCCCCCAAAGGCTAAAACTTGTTTAAGTTTTTTACCATTAATATAGACACATATATATATTTCCTAGTTCCTGAAGCCCTGTCTCTTTCTTTCACAGCCAGGCTCCTGGAAAGCACAGTGTGTCTTTGCACTTCACTCTGAACCTCACATTTGCTCCTTGGTGAAGCAGTACTTGGGCCTTGGTTTTACCACCCTCCTTTCAGGCTCCTGTCCATCCCTTGCACATTGGTGTTTGTGACCGCCCTTGGCCCCTTTTGCCTTTGCTGTTGCTATTTCTGCTCCACCCAGGGGTACGCTTCCATTCCCTCATGTCAGTTCCAGTGGACTCACCTGTTTTAGGCATTGAATTCTAAAGTCTGCAGTAAGGCAAAAATTGTACATAGTCAAAACTACCCTTTATAAAAAAGACCTTAAAGTATGGATGTGGTTTGATATATGCAAATAACACAGATGTATATGTAATAAATATGTGCATATATAGAGCTAGGTATAGATAGATATAAATGTGTGTGTATGTATATATATAATGTGGGTATAGTTTTCTCTGTACAAATCACAGATATATGTCTATATAAAAAGTAAAGTTTGCATACAGTTTTCTGTAAATTACACAGATTTATCTGATACATGTAATGGAACAAAATGATATATGTATCAGCTATGTCCCTGTGATTTTCATGTAGAAATATATTTAAACTTTAAGAACCACTTATCTATATATAATATACATGTAAATGATATAAAATTTAACTATTTTTATGTACATATACAGATATACAGATCACATATAATATAATAATATACCATATATCCTGGGCAGAATTAAGAAATTGTTATTTAGTGTTTTACTGCTGAGAATATTTCAGCAAACTTACAGTGATTCCGACCTGTGAGGTCTTCCCGCTTGTCAGCACCATCCTTGTCTTCTGTGGACCACTTCAGCAGCTGTTCCGTCTCCTCTGCCTGGCCCCAAGTACCTCCAGATTATTCCTTCGTGGTGTTGATGAAGTCTCACCAGGTTCTTGAATAATTCTGTTGACTTACTTGACAGTGGCATGAAAATCTTTACAATAATTCACAATTCTTCACGTTTTTCTCATACACGCGGACCCATACAAGCATAATTAGATCCATTGCGTGTGGGCATGTGCATATTGTGTGGCTTTTCTGCAGTTAGCCTCACTATTTATTTTTATGTTCTTTAAAAAGATCTTATTTATTTTTAGAGGGAGAGGAAGGGAGGGAGAAAGAGAGGAAGAGAGGCATCGTTCGGTTGCCTCTCCTACATGCCCTGACCAGGGACCAAGCCCACAACCCAGGCCTGTGCCCCGATTGGGAATCCAACCTGTGACCTTTCGCTTTGCGGGCTGATGCCTAACCAACTGAGCCACACACCAACTGAGCCACACGTGTCAGGGCTAGTCTCACAATTTAAATTATGTCTGCCTCTCTGTCTTTCTGTCTTTTTTGCTGATGGCATCTGATTGTTGAATAAGAAATAAGAATGCTACCCCTCTGCAGTGGCATGTGTGTTTGTGTGCAACTCCCATCCTGCATCTCCAGTGTAAATGTCTCCTTCGGACTCTAGAGATGTGTATTCTATTGCCTCCCAAATAGCTCCTGTACTTATTTCTGAAACAGTCCTCGTAACGCCTCACCATTTAGGGGATCCACATCTGTCTCTACTAGGCTCAAATCCTCATGAAGGCAGGACAGTCATTTTGGTTTGTGTATCTTCAGTGCCTGGCAAATAATATGTGCTTAATGAATTTAGTCTGTCAGTCTGGAATACAATCAGATCTTCAAAATCTAGGTCTGCGATGGAAACTATTTTTTATATATAACTTTTCTTTTTCAATTACAGTTGACGTACAATATTATGTTAGTTTCAGGTATACAACACAGAGACTAGACATCTATATACCTTACAAAGTGATCACCCTGATGAGTCTAGTAGCCAACTGACACCATACACGGTTGTTACAAATGATTGACTGTGTTTTCTATGCTGTACTTTACATTTCCTGGTATATAACTGCTTTCTGACGAGAGGGTTTGAAGTAGTGAAATGGCTATTCCTAGAAGAGTCTGAGCTTAACTTAGAAGGAAGGGAATCTCACATGGTAATGGGAAAGCAGAACTGAATTAACTGACCAGCCTTTGGGTTTCCTAGTCGCCCGAAGTTCTGTTGTCTCTCAGCATCACTTGCCTTTATGGGATAAGTAGCCTCCAACAGGGATTCTTGCCTTATGATCAGGCCTTTAGATGTATTTGTTGTTAGCAAAACAAATATATCTAGATATATTTGTCCGAGATATATTTGTTCTTTGACCTAGATAATGCCTTAGGTAAATTTTTTCACCTGTTAAAATTATGTCATTGTTACAGAAAAAGAAGGCATTGCAAGAATTTTCTGGATTGGCTTAAATCAGTTGTACTCTTCTAAAGGCTGGGAATGGTCAGACCACGCGCCATTAAACTTTCTCAACTGGAGTCCAGGTAACTGTTCTCTCTTCTGTCTACTATGCAGAGAGCAAAATCCTCAAAAAATGTATAGAAAGAACTTCCCACTCACTGAGAGCTTATAAAACTTTCAAATCTTGACAATTCTCCTAATGGTTAGCTCTCAGAAGAATTTTTTTCTAAGCCCTTCTTAGGCTTAGTCATTTTGGCCCTTATGCCATTGTAGTCAAGCTGAGACTATTCTAGCAAAGCTGAACCACACCATGAGCAGCTGAGCATTTGTCTCTAACCTTCAGAGCAACCCTATATTTTTAAGAGCAGAATGAGCCCCATCACGTGGCCCCAGGAGCCATTCTGTGTCCCTTAGGGGACTCAACATGCCTATGATGGACCCATGTTGTGCTTCAACTGCAGCCGAACTCTAACACAGAAATATCCCCTCATTTGCAAACCCTTGGGGTCTTTTTCTGTAGCACTCGATTACTGACAACATAATAGTTATATTTTATTACACAAATAATTACACTAAAGAAGAATTTATAGTGAATAACACAAATACAACTCTAGTTAGCCAAAAGACCCCCCTCCCCCCAAAAATGAAGGTTTAGGTACCTATTTAAGAAATAAAATCTTAGGCTTCTGACGTGTAAAACCTAGAAGATAACATTTAACTTCAGTATGAAAGTATTCTGCACACATATGAGAAAAAATAAGTACAATAAACACCAATACGTCATGTTACTTTAATGAAGTTTAATTATTAGTAACTTAAGGCCTCAAAGCCATTACAGAATCCTAAATTGGAATATTTATTGTATAGAGTAGCAGATGAAGAGCTACTGACCACAGGATTATGACATGGAAGTTGATTGGGGGCAGAGGTTTGGTTCTTGGTTTGGTTTTTAAATTAGCTACAGTATATCCAAGTATTTCCCCCATATTCTCTATTTTAGAATAAAGACATATTTAAGCACATGATTGTCCATTGAGGCTTATCCATTTCCACTTAGTAGAAGGTTTTAAATATTTTATGAGTTCCCATAAAAGCAGAAAATTAGAAATTACAAAATATTATTTTCTAACCGTCACTCTGGCTCTAATCTTCTCCTTTAAACGGTGTGACAATTTGGTCATTGAAGATATGCCCAGTGCACCTGTGATAGGTGGGTCCAGCTGTGCAGTCATGGACGCCACATCCGGTCTGTGGCAGAGGTTTTCCTGCGAAGCTCAGCTGCCCTACGTCTGCAAGAAGTCATTAAATAACACAGTGGAGTTTACAGGTATCTTTCTCATTTACTTGTGCAAATAGGTCTTGAAATTACAGTTTGGTGAAGTTAAGTAAATCTATTTCACATAGCTATTTCTACTGTTCTTTGATCTGGTGCTGCCTGTGCTGAAAAGTATTGACTTTGACCCTGTGGTTAGATATTATCAACTGAACATGAATAAAGCTTTGGTTTGGTATTTCCCCATAAGGAAACAGAGATAGTCTAGATAAATATATTTCTGTTAACAGGTGGCTTTCCTTCCTCTGGAGCAAGGGTTCTCATAGAGCGGTTCCCAGACCAAGAGCATCAGTAGCACCTGTGCTTGTTAGAAATGCAGATTCTCAGGACCCAGCTCTGATTTCCTGACTATATCAGATATTATATATCTTAGGGTGGGACCTAACATTCTTTGTCTTATGAAGCTTCCCAGTGGTGCTGGTACACACTCAGGTCTTACATACTGTCACCTGCCTTTGTGAGAAGCCAAAAGCCACAGACACAAGAACACTCCCAGGCTTTCCCCCCTCCCTCCCCCACAGCGCCCAACCCTCCTCATCCTTTGCCAGGCCGTGTTCATAAGTTGGGTAGAAAAGGAGAGATACAGAAGGACAATATGTGTACAAGGACGGGTTTTTTTTTTAGGGAATGGGGGGGCAAGAGGGATACAGGGCAGCTGATCTTTTTGAGGAGCAGAGAAGTTTGCAGAGTCTTGGACAGCATGGGGAAGAGCAGTGCCCTTACTGTCTTACAGAATGCCCACCGGATCCCTAGTATTTAAATCCTGAATAAGAAAAACTAACACTCAAACATGGGAGGAAAAAAGATTTTAAATACGCTTTAAGGGTTGTTGGGGGAAGGGAATAAAGTGCAAATTTTCTTATCCACGTAGGTGCATAAAGCTGACTTTCTATTTATTTATTTTTAAATTTTATGCATTTATTTTTAGAGAGAGGAAAAGGGAAGGCAAAAGGGAGGGAGAGAAACATCAATGTGTGGTTGCCTCTCACACATCCAGGCATGTACTCTGACTGGGAATTGAGCCGGTGACCCTTTGGTTTTCAGGCCTGCATTTAATACACTGAGCCACAACAGCCAGAACAAAAGCTGTCTTTTTAAAATTAAAAAATAAGTGTATAGAATCAAGAATATAGGGGGATGATTTAAAAGATTAGGGGAAAATGAACGTTTATCTTCCAAGTTGATTCATACCAAATTTAGCTTATATGACAAAGGGCATAATGGAAAAGAGCACAAATGAACCTACACCAGAGGGGCCAAGGAAAGATCCCACGAGTAGCCTGTAGTAGCAGTCATTAGCTGTATCACGATGTTTCCACATGATCGAGTGATGTGCATTTATTAAAATGACTCTGCCAGCAGGAAAATTAAAAAAGCAGAACAAAATGATATGCCTGCTTATCATTTTAATCTTGAAAAAATATGAATTTAAAGAGGCAAAGACTAACAGAGGAAAATGATTATTTTAACTTCAATTCTGGGTGACTTTTTTCCTGTTTCTTTATCATAATTGTAAAATATGATAATAAGAGCAGTTTCAGAACTTCACAGTTAATTGAGTTATCTTGCAAGTATGAGGAGCCAGCTGAACCTGAATTTTATTCTTTAGTAAAATCAAACTATCCGTATTTCAAACAGCTCTGAATCCAGGAAGTCAGAGTAAGCAAACTACTTCCTAGTTCTGTTGAGACGGGGAGATGTATTGTATTTTGTATGGTTTCGCGCCTCCCTTTTTTTCTCAAATCTTTTTAACCATCATCTGGGTAAGTTTTGTCATGGTCCAAACAAAGAATCAGTAGTTCCATTAGGACCAGAGGTCTAGCAGAGGGGTGGAAAGAGGAGGTCTGGAGATACCCTCTGCTCTTTCCCTCCACTGCTGCCCCTTCATGGTGTGGAGTGTTTCAATTTCTGCCCAACCTTTTGAACAAAAGGAGCATAAATTTGAACAGTGAGCATAATGCACGTCTCCTGCTAAACTGACTGTACATAAAAAGGAGGCTCAACCTGATAATCTCTCTGAGGCCTGGACTGAAGGGAAAATCTAACAAATCCCATGCCAAGGAAGAGATCTGTGAGCAACTGGCTTACCCGACACCTTTCTTCTGCTACGTAGCACATTCACATCACATTCAAGTCACATCATCATCTGAACCTCTGCGGTCCCTCTTATGATGCTCTGTTTACATCAGGTGCCCTTTACATTCATGTCACTGTCCTATCTGACAGCACATTCCCCAGTTTTCCAGAAACCTTATGATTCAAGAAAGAAGAATTTGTAATGTTATTGATTCAAAATAGATGTATCTTTACTGGAATATAAATAGCTGCTTTGCTTCTAGATATTTGGACATATTCAGATACCCGCTGTGATGCAGACTGGCTGCCAAGTAATGGGTTTTGCTATTTGCTGGTAAATGAAAGTGATTCCTGGGATATAGCACACATAACATGTAAAGCCCTCAGCAGCGACCTCATCAGCATCCATTCTTTAGCAGATGTGGAAGTGGTTGTGACAAAATTCCATAACGGGGGTAAGTTTTTAAAATACCTTCTTTGAGAGGTTTAAAATATTTTAAAGTATTCTTATTTTCATACTCTGGGTGGGGATGAAAAGCTCACGACTGATCTTTGTGTCCAGCACATCCAATAGAATTTCCTCTGACGGTGGAACTGTCCTATAGCCCCTGCAGTCCAGCATGGTGGCCACCAGCCACCTGTGGCTTTGGAGACTTGAAATGCAGCTAGGGCAACTGAGGAACTGAAGTTTTACTTTTATTTAATTTCAATTAATGTACAAATTTAAATAGCCATATTGGTAGCTAGTTGATGAGATAATTTTTCTCTTTTTATAAGCCAAATTCTATTTACGTTCTCCAAACAAGTGATGATTATTTCACTTTTGTAATTATTTGAAAGGTAGAGACTGAGGAGCAAAAATCCAATACACTGCCAATATTATAACCTCCTCCCAGGATTCCCTAACAATAGTGTCTTTAATAAGCGGGTACCTATTCTGTGGTCAGTGTAGTGTCCATTGTTTTACCTAGGAAAGTAGCTTGCTTTTGTATTCATTCCAGGGTAGCAATGGACAATATTCTTATTCTAATTGGCACATCTGTGAGTGTTTCTGTATGTTTTATGATTCCCCTTAAAGCAAGAATTACCTAACCCAGACATCAGGAACACGCAGCTGTCTTAGCTGTGTGTTCTACCTGCATGAGTGATATGAAAACCCCTCATTCCTTGGACTGCCTAGCTCATCAGCATTTTAACAGGTTAATTAAGAATTCCATGTGTCCTTTATAGTTGTTCCTGAAAACTCTTCCCCATTTACCCCCATTATCCCTTCCCCTCTCCCCTCTGGTTACTGTCAGAGAAGTCCTATGAGTTCTTTATATATTTTGGAGATCAAACCTTTGTCTGGGGTATCATTGGCAAATATGTTTTCCCATGTGGTTGGTTCTCTTTTCATTTAAATGCTGTTTTCTTTAGCCATGCAGAAGCTTTTTAATTTGATGAGGTCCCATTTGTTTATTCTTTCCTTTATGTCCCTTGCTTTAGGGGACATATCAGTGAAAATATTGCTGCATGGAATATCTGAGATATTCCTGCCTATGTTCTCCTCTAGGACTTTTTTTTATTATTACTTTATTATTGTTCAATTACAGTTGTCTATATTTCCTCCCCACCACTCCCCCCACCCCAGTCAAACCCACCTCCCTCCCTTGCTTCCACCCTCCTCCTTGGTTTTGTCCATGTGTCCTTTATAGTAGTTCCTGAAAACCCTTCTCCCCACTGTCCCTTCCCCCTCCCCTTTGGCTATTGTTAGGTTGTTCTTAATTTCAATGTCTGGTTATGTTTTGTTTGCTTTTTTGTTTTGTTTACTAGGTTCCAGTTAAAGATGAGATCATGTGGTATTTGTCTCTCACCGCCTGGCTTATTTCACTTAGCATAATGCTCTCCAACTCATCCTTGCTTTTGCAAAGGGTAGGAGCTCCTTCTTTCTCTCTGCTGCATAGTATTCCACTGTGTAAATGTACCATAATTTTTTGATCCATTCATTTACTAATGGACATTTAGCTTGCTTCCAGCTCTTGGCTATTGTCAGTTGTGCTGCTGTGAATATTGGGGTGCATAGGTTCTTTTGGATTGGTGTTTCAGGGCCCTTAAGGTATAATCCTAGCAATGGAATTGCCAGGTCAGAAGGCAGTTCCATTTTTAGGTTTCTGAGGCATATCCATACTTTTTTCCACAGTGGCTGCACCAGTCTGAATTCCTACGAACAGTGCACTAGGGTTCCCTTTTCTCCACAGCCTCTCCAACACTTGTTTGTTGCTTTGTTTATGTTGGCCATTCTCAAGGGTGTGAAGTGGTATCTCATTGTGGTTTTAGTTTGTATCTCTCTGATGGCTAGTGATGCTGACCATCTTTTCATATGTCTCTGGGCTCTCTGTATGTCCTCCTTGGAGAAGTGTCTGTTCAAGTCCTTTGCCCAGTTTTTAATTGGAGTGGGGTTATGTGAGTTCTTTATATATTTTGGAGATCAAACCCTTGTCTGAGGTATCATTGGCAAATATATTTTCCCGTATGGTTGGTTCTCTTTTCATTTTCATGCTGTTTTCTTTAGCCATGCAGAAGCTTTTTAATTTGATGAGGTCCCATTTGTTTATTCTTTCCTTTATGTCCCTTGGTTTACAAGGCATATCAGTGGAGATGTTGCTGTGTGGAATGACTGAGATTTTCCTAGTGTTGTTTTCCTCTAGGATTTTTATGGTGTCACGAATTATACTTAAGTCTTTTATCCACCTTGAATTTATTTTTGTGTATGGTGTAAGTTGGTGATCAAGTTTCATTTTTTAGCATGTAGCTGTCCAGTTCTCCTACACTGTTTGTTGAAGAGGATATTTTTGCTCCATTTTATGCTGCTGCCTGCTTTGTCAAATATTAATTGACCATAGAGACTTGGATTTATTTCTGGGCTCTCTATTCTGTTCCATTGGTCCGTGTGTCTGTTCTTATGCCAGTACCAGGCTGTTTTGATTACAGTGGCCTTATAGTACAGTTTGATATCAGGTATTGTGATCCCTCCTACTTTGTTCTTCTTCCTCAAAATTACTGTAGGTATTTGGTGTCATTTATGGTTCCATATAAATTTTTAAAATGCTTGTTCTATGTCTGTGAAATATGCCATTGGTACTTTAATAGGTATTGCATTGAGTCTGTAGATTGCTTTGGGTAGTATGGACATCATTGTTTTGATGATGTTAATTCTTCTGCTCCATGAACACTATATATGCTTCCATTTGTTTGTGTCTTCCTTAATTTCTTTCTTCAGTGTTGTGTAGTTTTCTGAGTACAGGTCTTTTAGCTCCTTGGTTAGGTTTATTCCTAGGTACTTTATTTTTCTTGTTGCTATATCAAATGGGATTTTTTCCTGATTTCTGTTTCTGCTATCTTATTGTTGGTGTACAAAAATGCTTTTGATTTCTGAATATTGACTTTGTATCCCACTGGTTTGCCAAATTCACTTATTAGGTTGAGTAGTTTTTTGGTGGAATCTATAGGATTTTCTATATACACTATCATGTCATCTGCAAACAGTGACAGTTTTGCTTCCTCCTTTTCAATTTGGATGCAATATAAGGTTATATATCAACTATACTTAAATAAAAAATAAATAAATAAAAAAGAATAGCATGTTCTGAATTAAAACTTAAAAAAAAAAGAATACCATCAAGGTTTTTAAAACCTCAAATCAGAATGTAAAAATGAGTAACAATTTGAAGTATGTATTGTATTAATTGAATAAAACCAAACAAGTAAACCATTTTTCTTCCAGATGCCAAAGAAGAAACATGGACAGGTCTTAAGAACATAAATACACCAGCTCTCTTTCAGTGGTCAGATGGTACTGAAGTTACTCTGACATACTGGGATGAGAATGAGCCAAATGTTCCCTACAATGAGACTCCCAACTGTGTTTCCTATGCGGGACAGGTAAGAAACCTCCGGGGGCTTATTTGTATTCTAATATTAATGCAATATTTGGTGGGAATGTTTGTGTTTAAACTGACAAGAAAATCAAAGTTAAAAGCCTTATAGATTGGCTTTCTGGTAGCTACTGAAGAAAGGTAAATAAAACAATGACTAAATAAGCAATTCACTTCCTGTCTGAGAGTATCTGATCTGATCTGATCTGAAACAGATCAGGAGGTCCCCTTGGAACTCAGATTCTTTTGCCAGATTTGAGCTAATAAGATGCTTTCTCTCCTCAATGTATGTTTAACATGTAGCCAATATGAAATATCTCATCTTCTGAATTCATGTTCAGATTAAATTTCATATTAATCCTCCTTTAAGAAGTAAAAAAATATATCTTTATTAAAATTTAGGTCTAACTTGTTCAGAGATCATCTTACTCCTATAAAGTGCTCAAACACATTTTAACATGCTTTAGTGAAGAGTTCAAAATGTGCTGAATCTTGAGCAGAAAGGACATATGTACCTCTATGTTTTGTATGTATCACTTTCCTGTGGGCTCCTAATTATTTAGGGTGTTGACTATGTCACCCAAACTTCTGGAGAGTTAAGTGGAAGTAATCAGTGATATGTTATTTAGAAGTGTTTCAAGGGTAAAGATGTATTTAGAAGGTTGTCAGAGATTAATTTAGAAGATTGTCACGTTTGGTGTTCTGTTTAAAAGGATATCTAAGATGTGTTTAGCAGAGTGTCAAAAGTAGAAATGGCTTCCGATGGGCTAGAGTGAACTAATGGCACCCCAGTATTCCGGTGTCCAGCTAGAAAACTCAGTTCTCAGAAACCTAATCACGATTGATTTACTAAAATTCAACTTGAAGAAAGCAGGATGTATTATTTAGTTAAGCAAAATAAATGTTAAGTAGTATGTTTGAAAGGGAGAACTTTGAAATCAAAGCTGAAGTACAGTTGGAAGAAATTTTTAATTCTAGAATTCTTGGAGAGTAGCTATTCTAACCATCATCATTTTACATATGAGGAGACAGACAGGGAGGTTAGTTGACATGCCCAAAAGTTTTTAACCTATGGGACCAACTTTGGCCATGGCATGTGGGAGAAGACAAGTAGCTGTTCGTGGGCTGAGTTCTCTCTCCAACTTTTATGCTTTGATGGTTTTATTTTTGCTCTTATAAAAAAAATGAAATTCATCCCCCTTGTGACCTTGAGATGATTCAGAAATGACGCAGCCTGGTTGGGCAGCATTTTCTAGGAGCGTGTTCTCAGATTTCATCATTTATTTATACTCATCCTCTCCTATCTCTCTTTCTACTCCTCTGCCCCTGCGCCCTATAGTTCTGTGAGAAGAAACTATCCTGATTTAAGATAAGTTAGAGTTCAATTCTAAATATATGGTAAATAATATCTCTTGTGGAAATTTTTTTCTATTTTTTAAAAGCTAGGTCAGTGGAAAGTCCAATCATGTGAAGAGAAACTTAAATATGTATGTAAGAAAAAGGGAGAAAACATAAGTGATGAAGGACCTGATAAGATGTGCCCTCCAGATGAGGTATGTGAATTGCTGCATATATGTTTCTGAGCAGTATGACACCTTCTTGGTCAAGGATGGCAATTGAGACTTCAACCGTTCAGACCTGGAAAATAGGAGATTATTAGCTTCTGTTCATTTACATTAGAGCAAACCAGAGTACAGTGAATCATAGCATATCAATGTTCTTACAGAAGAAAAAAGAGTTATAGGAAAAAGAACGACCTAGTCATGAATTTCTATAAAAATGTATGTTTACTATCCTCAATGCTGATATCTTCACTTCTCTTACTTATGTTATTTCTGTTCAAAGATAATTGAACCAAGAACATTATATTGTTATGGTGAGCTAGGCACTGAAGCTTAAGAGAACTAAGACACCTTCTGTCTGACACAGGCTGTCAGTCCTTTAGAGGTTATCTAAGAAATTGTACCTCTCCCTTATCATGTGCATGAATTTGCTGGTCACATCCTTAATTTCTATAATTGTGGGGTGTCAGCAGAACCTCGTTCATCAGAATGGGGCATCAGCATCAGATCCGGAAGACAGTGTGACGGTATTTCTCCTCTGATTTAGGGCTGGCAGAGACACGGAGAGACCTGTTACAAGATTTACAAGGATGAGGTCCCTTTTGGAACCAACTGCAATCTGACTATAACTAGCAGGTGCGACTATCAGGAAACATGTACTAGTGAACTTTTAACTCTGGGTTCCCTTGCTAAATAATCTTCCTAAGGAAAAGGTGGATCTTCCATGTACATAGTAATTCAATCATTATAAAAAACACCTATTAATTTGACCCTTGTTTTGTAGATTTGAGCAAGAATTTCTGAATGATATGATTAGAAAGTATACTAAATCTCCAGGAAAATACTTCTGGACTGGCCTGAGAGATGTAGATTCACAAGGAGAATATAGTTGGGCAAGTGTCGGTGGAGTAAAGCGGTCTGTAACCTTTTCCAACTGGAATTTTCTTGAGCCAGGTGAGTGTCTTAGGCTTTAAAGTAATAGAATTCAGTGACTTATGAATATAGCATCCCCTCCAAATCTGTTCTTTACTTACCTTTGAAATGTAAGAGAAATTAGTCTTTAAGACTAGAATCTTGGGGCTGTAGATAGAAACAGTGACTATGTCTTACCTATTAAAACTTTAGGAATAAGAACCCAATATAAGAAGCTAGAAAACTCTGTTCTCAGAAACCACCTTTTAATGGCATAGAGCCAGAATGCTCAGTGTGAGGTTTTTTTCTTTTCCCTGTAACTCTCCAGCAGAATCTAGAAGCTTCATTGTGAAGCACATTATATTTTCATCTCTTTGCTTCTTAACTTCTTTCTGCAAAATTAGATGTGTTTACTTCTATTATCCACAATGGACAAGAATTAAGGAGGCAATATATTGTAGGTGTTATTTATTCTGAAAGTTAGTTCATCCTCCTTTAACTAGCCTAAAGCAATGACTGTAATTAGCCTTAGAAGCAGAACATTTAATTCATAGGACCTCAGAAGTCCCCTTTGTTTTCAGATTTGAGAAGATGAGGTTTAGAAAGGCCATTTACTTGACAGAAGTTACCTGATTGTTGAATGGCTCTCATCCAGATCTCCTGATTACTAATTCAGTGCTTTTCAGAGGATTTTGGCCTTGCGTAAGGCAGCCATTATAAAGAATACCACTTTTTTCCCTTTGAATTATTTCTATTTTTTATATTTGGACAATGTGATTATGAAGACCAATTTTCATAATACAGAAATTAAACCACGTGAGTGTATAATTAAACACAATATTTGAAATAGAGAATGCCCATGAAATTCACAACACACAGTCATCATCATAAATGTGAGTGGTATCGGTAACAAAGTCATCTTTTTAGTTGTACCAAATGGAGGGTACAGATGTTAATCCTGGTTAAATCTGGTCTTAAATTAAAATTCTCTAATATCTAAAACATATGTGATTTCTTTTATAGACAGACCTGTCACAACTGATGCCACGTTCTTTATAGATAAGCCTCAGTGGTTGGAGAGGTGCCCAGGACATAACCACAGTGTCTGTTCTGTCATTCCTGTAGCCAGAAAGCCTGACTCGAAGCTCCTTTTACCATTATTACTCCCAGCTTCAGTCAGTTTCGTCTGTTATGGGCGAGCCACGAACAGCAGGTAGAACCAGAGAAAAGTAGCACTTGCATCCAGGATAACACAGCATTGCTTTCCCCAGGTCCTGGTTCCTCTTGCTGTTCAGGTATAAGTACAAGGCATGGAACCATGTATCTCCTCTGTTTGGTGGAATTGAAAGTGTCCTCGTTGCTTCCAGTGTGTGTTCTTATCTTCTGCCCACTTCAGGCAGTGTGGCGGAATGGGAAAGGGGCCATGGCGCCGCGTCAGACAAATCTGGGTGGCAGTCCTGACTCCTCCACTCACTAACTCTGACTGCGGGCAGGTCACTTATTCCTACCTGATGTGTCTGATAATACAAACTACCTTTTAATGTTTTCGTAAATAAAGAAAATTCTGGCTGTCATAAAATTAACAGTAGACACATATACGTCTTCTACCTTTGTTGTATCAGCCCTTCCTTTGGCTCTGAATCTGTATGAGTTTTATTTTGAGGTGTACCAAGTTGTTTAAAAACCGTTCAGAGGGCCCTGGCCAATGTGGCTCAGCTGATGGGAGCATCATCCCATTAAACTGAAAGGGTTCTGTTCCCAGTCAGGACACACGCCTAAATTATGGATTTGGTCCCTGGTTGGGAGACTTATGAGTGGCAAGCCATCAATGCTTCTGTCTCATATCGAAGTTTCTCTCCCTCTCGCTCTCCCTTCCGTCCCCTCCCTCTAAAATCAATAAGCATGTCCTCAGTGAGGATTAAAAAAAAACTGTTGAAAAGGGTTCAGAGTTACTACAAACCACTCAGGCTTTCCTGAGCAGCACAGCGCTTTAGGGCACAGCTCTGCACACAGACCATCTGGATTTCTGTCCTGGAGTGACCACTTACCAACATGTGACCTTGGACAAGTCACTGATCCTCACTGTACCTCAGCATGACAACAAAATCCACTCTAGCTTTTTCTGTGTGAGGATTCAATCCATTGACTCCTCTTAGAATAGTACCTGGCAAGCAGCAAATATGCCCCTGTACTCTTGTTGTCACCACCACGTCGTCATTCTTATGAGTAACACATTTCTTTCCTATTCTCTCCTCTTGCCTTGGCTCGAAGAAAGGGGTAAGGGCACTGAAAAATGTGTGTACTTTAAATTTTAAAATGTAATGTTTAATTAAACTTTCCCATTTAATCCCAGCTTCTCGAGGTGGGTGCGTAGCTATGACTACTGAAAAGTCTCTTGGGAAATGGGAAGTAAAAGACTGCAAAAGCTTCAGAGCACTTTCAATATGCAAGAAAATCACTGAGCCTGCTGAGCCTGAAGAAGCTGCCCCCAAGCCTGAAGACCCCTGTCCTGAAGGCTGGTATAATCTCCCCTTGGGTCTTTCGTGCTATAAGGTAATGAAACATTCTCACTCGATCCTTCAAGAATTTATCTATCTGTAATCCAAGTCCATGTCCTTGTACAAATTATACTTCTCCTGAGACAGATACCAAAGTGGCTGGGAGCAGAGTCCTTGTCAGGGAGGGCATCACTGAACCTGTGGCAGCAGACAGCTCTTCCCATATCAACTCACATCTCACCCAAAAGAGCATGGCCAGGGTCAGAACTGGCTCTTTCCTATTTGGGTCAGCTTCATGCCATGCTGAAACTTAGCTTATGATTCTTATATCCCTCTAATTCTTGTTATCACATGAAGAGTTCTGTAACTTCTTACAATGTAAAAAACATTATTTTAGTGTTTGTATCAGTTAATTGTTTCCACAAAGAAATCATTATATACCATCCTAAAATTCAGTGGCTACGACAAAAATATTTCATCTCATGTTCACAGATCTCCAGATCAGATATGGTTTGATTGATTTTGGTCTTGAATGGTTAGCTCTGCTTTCAACTGTGGGTTCACTCTGCTGGGCTCCAGGCTGTCCTTCAGTTTGGGTCTCAGGCTGAGTGGGCAGCAGCTGTCAGGGGGTTCTTCTTTTCACAGTCAACCACCGGAGCTTAAGAGGCAAGCCCAGCTGTCCAAGAACGTTTCAGGCATCCACTCACTTTACCTCCATTAATATCCCATTGATCACAGCAAGTCACATGGCAGAGCCCCAAGTGAACGTATTATACAGAAAAGTGTACTTTACCCACTGGAAAGGCCATGGCAAGAATATATATCACAGGGAACTGAAAAATCAGGACCAGTAATTCAATCCACCAGTGTGTCACCTGCTCCTCCTCTTCTTTTGCAATGACTGTCATTCTTTTGGCGTAAAATTAGTCATCACAAACCAAAGAAACAGTCCTAAGTGGTGAATTTTGTTTTGCTATCTTCTCTCAATATTTGCACATTAGTGTATTCTGCCCTTTGATTCTCATACTTCAGAAAAGAGCTCTGTACTTGTGCAGATCTCAGTGTATTATGTTCGGAATTATATTGTTCGCACATTTCTTTGCAGAAGTCCCCTCCAAAACCATTCATAAGTATGTGTAGCCTCATCTGCTGATTCAATTGATCTCTCCAGGTCCTAGGAATGCAGGAGAGTGTCACATCTTATTGGAGCAGTTCTCTAGCCTGAGGAGGGTCATCCCTTTACAGCAGCGGCTGGCAGCTGTGCTGGCCTTCAGTGACACTTTCAGTCTGTGACAGTGAATGTGCATTTACCCACATATTCATTATGCCTATAAGAAGTCATTTCAGGGGCTCATTATATTTGAATGTAATTGATTTTAAAATTATGAACATTTTATGATTATACCAGAAAACAAATTAACATTATGTTTTCTTAAGCTATTTCATATAGAAAGAATTGTAAGGAAGAGGAACTGGGAAGAAGCCGAGAGATTCTGCCAAGCACTTGGAGGACACCTTCCTAGCTTCCATCATGTGAATGAAATAAAAGAATTTCTTCACTTTTTAATGGACCGATTCAGGTAATATTTTTAGAACGAGATTTTCTATGCTAAATTGGATATCTGCTATACATTCAGAATTAACATGTTTTATTATCTAACATGGTGTCATGCGGTACTTAGCATCATTGAACATCAAGTATTTCTGTGTGTAAGACACTATGAGGGATTCAAAGATTAGGAAGACAGAGGCCCCACCCTTTGCACAGCACAGTGAAGTCCAACCGCGGAGATAAGGGAATTATAGTGCATCATCTAGTACACAGGAAGGAGTGACGATGGAATTCAGAGGAGGGAGAAAGTGTTTCTGGGAGGATCTCTTAATTGGGAAACATGTTATGAAGACGGATGTTCTTGGAAGGGAAGGTAATATTTTGGAAGGTAAGGTAGGAAAAGGAGCCCAGGAAAACAGGCTCCTTTCATAAGCAAAGGTATTGAGACCAGAATGTACAGGGAAAAAAATCTACTGATGATTAAACATGAAAATAAAAAAACAGGTAAAATGAATCCTGAGTGGGGGATTATAAAACCCATTTCATGAAGAAAATTTTTCATTGATGAGCATGCTATGCATAATCCTATTCTATTTTACATGCAATTATGAAATGAACACAATCTAGGGAGATATAAATTCTTTTTTCGAGTATTTTTTAAAAATTTGAAATTCTTTTTAGATTTTTTAATTGATATTCTCTTACAGTTATCCCAATTTTTCCCCTTTGCCCTCCTCTGCCCATCCTACCTCCACAAACTCCCACAGTCACTTCCCATGATTTGATAAGTAAAGACCCAATAATCTAGTAGCCATGGAAGGAATTGAAAAAGTTCACCAAGAATATCTTCCAGGGAACCAATGGGAACTATATAGTTGTTTACATCAATTCCTTCACATTTTACAAAAGAGATCACTACCATGTACAATATTTCAATAGTATAAGCAAGAGCTTGTACTCCATCACATAGAAACTAATGCAAGCATTCAGGTTTTTCACAAACTAGTCTAATTCTGATATCAAAGTCTGTTAACAATAGCGCAAAGAATTACAGACCAGTCTCATGACTACACTTAAAAAAGTAAATGCTAACTCCTTGTATAATGCTCATTATTTGCCAGATAATGAATGTCCTAAGTGTTTTCTGCTAGCTCTTTTAATCCTTAGAACAACCGATGAAGCAGGTACTGTTACTATGCCGACTACATCTAAATGAGAAGACAGAAACACAGGGAAGTAAAACCTATTCAGGGTTATATAGCTATAAGGAAAGGATCTAATAGTTGAACCCATATAGCCCACATTTTTAACCCACTACATTATAATATCTTAGAATAAAACACCTTGACAATTTAGGATTTCTTTCAAGAATACAAGATCAGGTCTACTTATTAAGACAAATATATGATCATCTTAATAAGTTCTAAAAATCCATCTGTAAAATTCATCATTGATTCCTGGCTTAATATGTCAGAACATCATATACTTAACATATTTAATTGATATAACTATTATATAAATTATTATTAAATTAATAGAAGAATAGTTAAACCAATAACCATATTATACTTAATGATTAAACATTAAATGCATTTCCATGAAAGCGAGAAAAAGGTAAAGATCTCTATTATCATCACTATTATTGATCTTCTTTTGGAATTATCCCCTGTGCACTAAGATTTAAAAAAAAAATACTATAACATGTAAATATATTTAGTGGTGGAAAAAGAAAATTATGAAAGTGTGAAACATATATTATTTATATTCAGAGTAGACCACAAAATGCATCAGTAAAGATCCTTGTTGCCTTTAGGAGATAAGATTTTGAGGGATTTTTCTGAATGTTTAAACATTTTCCACATTTTCTAGATATGTATTAATATATCCACTATTGCGTTTTCCTCATGAAAGAAAGTTTCACTACAGTGTGCTGGAAACCTGATGTAAAATAAAATACCTTTTCATTCATTTATTAAATATCTATTATAGAATTTCAGGTATTCTAGAGTATATTTTCTAGCATTGGAAATTAATATACAAAAGTTCATTGCAGACCAACTTAAGCCTATTTGGATACACTAACTTTTGGGTTCTTTTTCTTTTTTAAAAAAGATTTTATTTACGTTTAGACAGAGGGGAAGGAAGGGAAGAAGAGAGGGAGAGAAACACCAATATGGTGGTTGCTTCTCATGCACCCCCTACTAAGAACCTGGCCTGCAACCCAGGCATGTGTCCTGACTGGGAACTGAACCAACGACCCTTTGGTTCACAGGCTGGCACTCATCCACTGAGTCACACATCCAGGGCAGGTTTTTGTTTTTTTTTTGAGATGAGTATTTCTTAGCTACTCCCCACAACCTTTGTAGTATGTTATAATGAATGCAAAAACTTAGACCAAATCTTTCCACACATAACAGATGTTTATTAAACAAACATTCATGGAAACAGGCACAAAATGTCTCATAAAACCTGTTTGGTAAACTTGACAGCATCCCAGCAGTCTGTCCTTTTAGATGTTCCTACTACCATGTTGAGTGGAAGGTTTATTTGAGGACAATGTGACAATATTCCAGAGGTAGGATTCTGTTCCCATTATTGTCAGAATCATGCAGTCCCCGTCACCTGACCCAATGACCGGACGTGGGACTATTTGGAGCTTCAGCACTAGGTCCGTTTCTAACAGCATAGACTACTGGCCTCACCAGATTCTGATACCGTTCATGAAGAGTGAGAGTCTCTAAATATTTTAGCCATTCCTCATGTCTTGAATAACTTCAGTTTCATCAGTGAGAGTCCATTTCTGATTATGCTGATTAACAAGCTTCTAATTTCACTGATATAAACCCATTTCTGACATTCACTCTGCTGGTCACCAAAGCTTTGAATGACCAATGTCCTTGTGGTGGCTGCTTCTAACATGTCATTCCTCATACCCTGCTGATCCTCCCTGAAGTAAGAATTTCAGGCAGGGTAACTTACAGGCCCCCAGTTCTTTGACACACACAATATCATGCTGTCTAGGCTAAAGTATTTTTTTTAAGTAAAATGCTGACATAAATTGGATTTTGAATAACACCAAGCAAAAAGTTAAGATTCTTTAACTGGAAAAGAGAGCCATGGATACATACTAAGCAATGAGGTTGTAGATATTTGTGGGAATCAATTAATGGAAAATAGAACATCATATGTGATATAATTGGTCCATAAGAGCTTCTATACACAACATAGATTACATTAGAAAAGAAACCTAAAGTCTGAGAGGTAATTAGGGAATCTTTCTTGATTCGTTTCTTAGTTTCCGATCACACTTGCTAAGGTCCCACCCACCCCAATTAAAAAAGTAATGCAAGTTCTTTACCTAAAATTTGTGAAATACAAAAAAATGATAATGAATAAAAATCACTTCAAGTCCTAGCTCCCATTTATACAGAGTTAACATTTAGTGTAACACAGAATGTACAGTGTTTCATTTTTTCTGATCACAAAAAGTAATGCATATTGAATTTAGGAAGCAGAAAAGCACAAGAAAAAAATCACCATAATCCTTTCACTCATAGGGACTATAATTTATGATACCTTTATCCCAGTGGCTAACACAGTGCCATATTAAGCAGACTGTGCTGTCTGCTTGTGCACTTCGTTAACAAGGAGATTGTTTGCCTATGCTATACTTACAAAGACAGCACATTCTAAAAGCAATAATGTGACCATGGCTTGAAGGGAGGGAAGGAAGCAAACCTATTTATATCAGAAAAATGATTCTAAAGTATACTCCCTGAACACTGTAGCTTTTCATTGCAGGAATTGACCTTTCTCAGCAAGATGTCCATTGCCCAAATTGCATATTGCATGCCAAGGAGTTAAGTCAGATTACTGCTATATGTCTCACAATCTACATTCCACATCTCTATTTGTATTTCAGTGAAAAGGATTCATGGTATACCAAGTCATTAAGGCTCTAACATCTTTGCAACTCTTAATAGCAACCCACCAGGGAAAGCCATTGAGCAAAAACAGTCATAGGATTAGAGAAGAAAGCCTTGTTTGCAATGCCATTGCTGCTGGTGCACCACCCCCTGTGATGTGGCATGAGTGGATTCAGATATAAATCTAGGGCTTTGCAAACTAAACACCCTCATCAAATAGTATTTATTAGAGGTTATGGCTGAGGTACTGTTTTTCTTAGAAACCAGATGCAGATGCAGCAGGAAATTTGATTGAGAATGAGAATGTTAACAGAAATACTCATAGTAACCTTTTATGCAATGCCTTCCTAACCTAACAGCCTTAAACCATGCACTTAGTGCTCAGAGTAGAAGAAATTTATAAAGAGAGATCAAATTTCAATTGATTTGATTCCCTAGTTGTGATCAATTTTTTTCTCAAATTTTCTAAAATCCGCATTAGAGATGTGCAATGATCAATGTGATTTCCAATTTCTTTTTTTGTCTGCCTACAGATAAATCAGGTCAAACCAGAAATAAGCTATAATTGAGGAAATGTTTTCCACCCCTTATCACAGGGGTGGCATCTCCTGAAATGGAAGCTGAAAGCTAATAAATGTCTGGGTTGAAATGAAGTCCGATCTCAGAAAGTAGTGAAAATTAGAAATTTTGGACAATAGGACGAACTCAGGTCCCTAAACAACTGTTCTCGAGATGCTGCAGCAGAGGCAGGCAGATGCAGGCCTGACAGCACAGGTTCCTGAGTGGGAAAAGGTGGAGCCAAGAGAAAAATGGGGTGGACAGGTTGGGGACAGATCTCTAGCATCTTTGACAAATGATCTTTGATCATCTTTCTGTTTGTACTGTTGATTGTGTAAAGGCGATAACTACCTAGTGATTACTTTAGGGCAACATAAAATTCTGCACAAAGTCTCCAAAACGGAACCTTCTTGTACTTCAGCTATCTAGTTCTAATTACACTGTATATGGCAATTATCTCGACCCTGTGGTTTAGATATCTAACAGCCAGAAAACATGATAAATTTGGAAGGCTCTAAGAAAGTTCTGATTAGTTGTAGGCACAACCTGCAGCTCTTACAGCTACTAAATTCATACTGGGCTTAATTGTGTCCACTGGGATTTTCTTAAGTCTAAAAATTGGTGCTCTTTCTCTGTGGAACGTACAACATAACAATAACAACTAGAACGGGGCAGTCACAGAGGCAGTTACCTACAAAGGAATGCCCATAAGACTACCAGCTGATTTCTCAAACATACCTTACAGGCAAGAAGGGGCTGGAGAGAAGTATTCCAAGTCATGAAAGGCAATGAGCTACATCCAAGACTACTCTACCCAGCAAAGCTATCATTTAGAATGGAAGGGCAGATCAAGTGCTTCCCAGATAAGATCAAATTAAAGGAGTTCATCATCACCATGTCCTTATTATATGAAATGTTAAAGGGACTTACTTAAGAAGAGGAAGATCAAAAATATAAACAGTAAAATGAAAACAAACTCACAACTATCAACAACTGAACCTAAAAAAATAAACACAAACTAAGCAAACAACTGGAACAGGAACAGAATCACAGAAATGGAGATCACATGGAGGGTTATCAGGGGAGAGGGGGAGAGGAGACAATGGGGGAAAATGTACAGGGAGTAAGAAGCATAAATGGTAGGTACAAAATAGATGGGGTGGTTAAGAATAGTATGGGGAATGGAGAAGTCAAAGAACTTGTATGTAAGACCCATAGACATAAACTGAGTGGGGGAATGCTAATGGGAAGGAGGGTGCAAGGTGGAACAGAATAAAGGGGAGAAAAAAATGGGACAATTATAATAGCATAATAGAATATACTTAAAAATTTACATGGAAATGGGATACTTATTAAGACCTACAAAGTGTAGTACATTTTACAGAATTTTTCACGTTAGGTTGGAGGTAGAGAAAATGTTCTTACAGTCATATGTCTTCTTTTTACATGGGCAATATCTCCCTGACTAGAGCATAACTTTCATTGAGGAGAAGGGATCATTTACAATGTATGTCCCTGACTCTATATATTGCTGTAAATATTTTCCTTGAAATGCTTATCCTTTCTCTTCTCTGCCAGTCTGAGCACCAGGCATGTGGTAAACATTCAGATTATGGCTCAAAAGCAACGTTAGCCATCGTTTGAGGACTGTCCTTTTCCCCACCAACCTCACAAATCGTTTTCTGACTTCCTGCAGTTGAACTTCTGTAGCACCTAAAATGTGCGAAAATTTTACATCATTGGTGTCTTTCAAAAATGGTCTTATGTTTTCTTTGTTCATATATATTTTGTCTTCTTGACTGGTTTATATCCCTTTTAAGAAGAGATAGTCGGTCTTGTACTTTTTTGTAACACTATTGCTCCTTTTATATACCTTGTACATAAAAGTATAATAGTTATGAATGTTAAATATAATCACGTGATTGTTTAATTATATTGCTCTGCTATAGCCCATGGATTTTGGCATTTAGAAAATACTTAATTTACTTTGAATTTAATGGGCAATAGGAATTAAATAGTTTTTTAAAATCTTGTTTAATAAAAGTGTAGCCAAGTGGTCTGTTCTGCATTTTGAGAAGAAGATATTTTGACAGTATTACAGACAGACACTCTGAAGAAATGCCATTGGCATCTTTAACTGTATCTGGCAACATTGTCTAATATTGAAGCTCTACAGTAAAACTGTTAGAATAATCGTATACATTTTTTCTATTAAGTTCAAAGCAGAATAGTTTTTGCCTTTCATGTGACAGAAATGACTTAAAATTTAGTTTTAAAACTATGGTACTTTTCCATAGCTACACTATCTGTAGGGTTTGGTTTCATTTCAGAAGACTTTATATAGCTTGAAATGGTGCTTTTCAGCTAGTAACAGGTCTTCTGAATAAACTTATTTGTCCTAAGTATTTTTGCTAAAGGCTATGCTCATTTTTTAACCCTTCTTTTACACGCAGTAGCGAACGCTGGCTGTGGATAGGTTTGAATAAAAGGAGCCCTGATTTACAAGGATCCTGGCAATGGAGTGATTATACACCAGTGAGTTTGAACTTTCTTGTTTGGGGTAATATTGAAAGAGTGTTTCAATAACGAGTAAGTTGATTATTAAATAATACATCCACATACCATACAACTATTAAATTAATTTTGTAGAAGTATCTTTATTGAAATGGAAATAGATTCAGAAATATGAAGTATAGGTAAAACAAGTTACTAACTGGAATCTTATTTATAAAAATAAATATACGTTTAGGCTTTCTCCGTATAATCCAATTGACACAGATGTAGATGTAATACAGATAAATAGACATACATAGATATACATAGGTATATGGAGATATATTGCATATAGGTGTAGTGGTCATCTTTGGGTAGTACAACTGACTTTTTCTTTTTCTCTCATTTTTTTTTCATAATGGGAAGTTTTTACTTTTGTTATTTAACAATATGAGTTATATTAAAAAAAGCACCTTTATTAGAGGAAATAATTTGTGGGAACCCTAAAAAGTCCTTCAATATTGTATCAAATGTTTATATTATCCTAAAGAGAGGTTTTAGGTAATGCCTATAAGAGCAGATTATTCTCAAATGTTAAAAATGCACTCCACATTACCAATTGTGTCAATTCATTGCGTATTCTTTCTAAATGTAAAATTCTTTGACTTTCATTTTCAAATTGGAGTGTACCTGAGAATAGTTCATCAAATAACTAGCATTTCAACACATGCAAAAAAAAAAAAAGTATTTTGCAAGCTCCTGATTCTGTGACTCCAACTGTGAATTTAATACACCACTCACCTCCACTTCCAAAACTATCTTCCTTTGTTTGGAAACTGATGACACTTTCTAAGTCCTCTCATGATTTAGCATCCTCATATAAAAAAGAAGACAACAGAGTTTTCCTCCCATGGCATAGGAACATACTTGAGTTATTAAAGCTGCCTAAATTGCATCTACATTGCAGGTGTTTATATATCAGTCTTAAATTCTCAAGCCTCTCTTGTCTTTTCAGGTGTCTACTATTATCATGGAAAATGAGTTTCTGCAGGATTATGATATCAGAGACTGTGCTGCCATCAAGGTCAGTACAATGCTGGAAAATCTTCATATTTTAAAAACAAATCTGGTATCGTGCACAGTTAGGCAACAGATCCTTGGAGTGCCTTTTGTGTGTGAAGCATATTAGGTGTGATGGGAAGTAAAAAGTATACCTGTGACCCACCCCTCAAGAAACCAAATTATACTTCGTTTGAGAAGATAAAGTTCATATCCAAGAAAGCTCTTATTGCTATGCAGTAATGACCTCCAAATGAGTGGGCTAAAGAGGGCCAATGAAACTCTGAGGAAGAAATGATTCTGGTGGTCTATTTCCAGAAACAGGTGGGACTTGAATTGGGCCGATAGGATTTGGGCTGGCAGGGTAAGTTAAAGCTTTTTAATTGGGACATGGTATGAGGAAGGGGACTAAAATAAAGTAGGAGTGGAAGGGAGAGGCTGAGGTGTGAGGAGAACAGAGTTCAGATCAGGAAGTTTTCATTGGTGGTGTTTGTTGAAAATAAAGCTGGGAAACAGGATTGTTGCCTGGTTAAGGAGTTTGTACATTTTTGGGTAGGCAACACAGTATTCTCCAAAGTTTTTACATGAACTAAAGAGGGTATGGGAAGATTCATCTTACGACAGATTCCAAGATGCAACAGATAGGGCCAAAAGACATTTAAAAAATAGGCATCTTCCTTTGCAGAATTGATTCATTTATTCATTCCATTAAGTACTATATCCAACCAGCCTGTGATGCTCTGGAAGTACAGTTATGACAAGATATAAAGCAGTCATTGTCTTCACCGAACTTATAGTCTATTTAGAGATAAACACAAGTAAACAAGGAATGACAAGGGTTATAGCAGGCAAAGTGTGTTTTATACAAGAGCAGAGTATAAGTTTTATGGGAGAATAAAGATGGTGAAGGTGCTGGCGATGTCGCTGTTAACGCTTGCTGACTCCAGAGCTAAACTGAGCGTTAGGCATGTCACCTGGACAGAGTCCTTCACTGAATGCTTAAGCAAGCTTGGCAGTAGGTACTCTTAATGTATTCATCTTACATGGAAGAAATTTGAACTCAGTAACTTATGTGGTCCCTGAACTAAGATTTAAACCCACGTGCCTTGGTTCACCGAGCTGTATGACTAGACATTTATGGAAACAGTCAGAAGGGGTACTGGTTTATGGAGGAAATAGTGCATTTTGGTTCAGATATTTTGAATCCAAGCTAGCAGTAAGAAATATCCTGTGGTAAGTAGAAATCAAGAGACTGAAATTGGAGGGAAAATGTATGATAGATGAAAGATCAAAGAACCAAGGAATAGATTTGGGGGAATTACCAATACATCAGTGTACGAAGATGAGGAAAAAAAGATTCAAGAAGGCAACTGACCAGAAATGTTACAGGAAGTTTGAAACAAAGAACTGAGAAGGCCACGGGAAAGCACTATTTTCAAGGTAACTGTTCTAGTAATAAACTGTTTAGCATCATGTCATCTTTATAGAATTCCCAGTTTAGCACATGAGAAGGTGAAAACTTCAGAGAAGCCTGTGAAGTTTCCACAACACTGATGCAATAGACTATGTTCTGTGTAAGTAGAGGCCCCGTGGGTTAAAAGATTGAAAAATCTACCAAAACAACTAAATAAAAGAGACACTGATGCCTCCTGCAACAGGAGTAAGGCCAGCCAGAGCGGTGTTGTAGGAGAAAATCTTACCGCACCTGCCTCTGTACCCATGAGAATCTTGGCCTTAAGAAAAAAACAGTCCAAAGAGTGATGGATGCCCCTCCCAGGTCGTGCCTCCCCTCTGCTTTGCCTTGCGTGCTGGCTGGAATTTGCAGGACACCATCTTGGACCAGGTGGAGAAGGGCAATGTGCTAGGAATGCAGAGCAATGCTGAAGAAGGAGCCTGGGCCGGTGATGCCAAACTTTTATGTCACTGTTCACAGATCTGCTTTAGCACAGCCTGGTGTTTGGAAACCACTGACCCAAATATTCTTTTCTAGCTTTCTGTACCCCAAATTTAAAGGTACAAGATTCTACAACTTCATATCAACAAAACAGAAAAATACAATAATTTGCATTTTGAACATCAACATGATCTTATATGTTCCTGTATCAGCCTATTGCTTAGACTGCTACTGTTTAAGTACTGTATTCACTCATGTGTCCCATTCATTAAATAGGTATCTTAGGTGGTAGAGCTATAGTAGAGTTTCAAAAACCCATTTAGTGTTTTAGAAGGGTTTCATCAACCTCAAAATAATGTGCAATCCTCTTCCCTCTTCAGGTTACACAGACGCTATGGCGAAGAAGCTGGTATTTCTATAATGACAGAGAAATTATTTATTTAAGACCTTTTGCTTGTGATACAAAACTTGAATGGGTGTGTCAGATTCCAAAAGGTAAGTGGTAGTCATTCCTTTTCATAGTCCTTTCATGTGAACATTGTGAATACCAAACCAACCACAAGTATCTAAGAGAGCATTTTAGTCTATAATTATAACTTTAAAAAGCCTTTGAAGTTGCCATTAATATATTAAGCTCCATCCAGCCTGAGTACTACCCCTCAGAATGCTGGATTATTGAAATTCAATGGTATCTTCCACTTTCATTATGAAAGATTTAGTATAGAAGATACAATTGAAGGCTAAGTGAGGATAATTAGATCCGGAATGAGAGATTATTTTAAGTAAAAGAAGCAACATGGCAGAGTGAATCATTTTTATTTTGATGCAAAATGAAGGAAAAAATGAAATAAGAATCAGGAAATAAAATGTAAGCATTTTCCTGAACACTTTAGAAAAAATTTTCAGTGAACTCAAAAGCTGGTAATAGTTTATGTATTTCAAATTTAGGGAATAGCTTAATTATGTAGAGTGGTGACAAACCGGAGAGAAAAAGAGAGTAAGTAGATGTCTTTTACTTAGCTTTCTACTAGGAAAATGTCAAGGACAGTTAAGGAAACTCTTAAGAAGATTTTTAACTCCCAAACTATTTTAAGCAGATACTGCATATATGACAGTGTTAGTGGTAAGTGTACAGAAAATTTCAAAATGAATTTCTGAATTCAATGTAAACAGATTTACTGAAACCAAAGGTATTCAAAGAACCCAAAGACTTCATCGTGGAACTGCCTGTAAAAAAGTTGTTCTTTTTCCTTAACAAAAGGCTACCCTATTATCTCTAAAAGAGCTTTAGGTGTGACTTTTGGTACAGTAACTGTCAAATCTCTTTCACAGTGACAAACGGGCAGTCCATTAATAGAAGGGGAAGTGTGTGTGTGTGTGTGTGTGTGTGTGTTGATGGGGTCTTTCCAGAGAAGACATTATACCTGAGTTATGCCTGATTATTGATTCAACCTGAAGGAAGCACAAAGGAAAACCCTTTGTTCTTAAGCAAGTGGAAAAGTAAATAATATAGATCATTAATGTGGACAGTGTCTCCTGTTTGAAGCATTGGTGGTGAGGCTCCCATTACTCTGGCAGCTCACTAGCGTGCCACCAAGTGTCCTTGCTGCTTCCAAAGTGTGTCCTCACTGGTAGCTGCCACCCTGCCTACTCTTTGAGTGATGGCACAAACACAAGAGTTCACACCATGGCAACCTTAGGAATGACAAACCAGTAGCCACAGGATGTATTTGTATTACAAAGAGCATTTGGGTATTTTTTCTTTATTATATATATTTTCATTTTAAACAAAAGAGAAGGGAATTAACTAATGTAACAAACATAAATCAACCAAATAAATCTTCTAAATGATTGCACCCCTCCTCTCCCCATACAGAAGCAAAATTAAAAGTTGAAGTACTTCCTATCTCAGCTCATTCCCAATCATTTGAAGCAATTACTGATTGCATGATCCAGGGTTTAAATGTTAACTCTCTTTTGACAGTTTTTAAATTTAAATTTCTAAGGTACAGTGTGTCACATTCACCTGGTTAGAGATATATATATTTAGAATAACCAAAGTTTGCTCAACTAATCTGTATCCACCTGTATTTTCTATATTAATCTATATTTTCCGGTTTTCTTAAAGCAGCTCACCTCTTAAGTAACCTAAGTCATTGTACCTTTTCTCTATCTCTCATCTGTTTATTACCTGTTCAGCCAGTTCTAATTAGTCCTCTTTCTCTAAAAGAAATATTTTGGCAATCCTAAAAAATTGTTATTGAATTTATCAGGGTGACATTGGTTCATAAAAGTACATGGGTTTCAGGTATGCAATTCTATAACACGTCATCTGTATCATACTGTGTGTTCACCACCCCAAGTCAAGTCTCCTTCCATCACCGTTTATTCCCCCTTTACCCTTCTATCTCCCCCACCCTCCTTTTCCTCTGGCAATCACCATACCGTTGTCTGTGGACAGCCTAAAATTTTTAAATAACCATAACCAGTGTGGAGACATACTCTTTTTTTAAATTGAGAAAACAATATCAAAAGAATCATAGAAATGTTTTTAGGAAAATTACCTATAATGCCACAACCCAAACATAATATTTTATATTTTTGATACCTTGTACACACATACATATTTGTAATCTTGTATAAAAAATACTTTGCTGCCCTGGCTGGTGTAGCTCAGTGGACTGAGCGAGGGCCTGGGAACCACACAATCTCGGTTTGATTCCCAGCCAGGGCACGTGCCTGGGTTGGAGGCCAGTTCTCAGCAGGGGATGCACAAGAGGCAACCATACTTTGATATTTCTCTCCTTCTCTCCTTCCCTTCCTCTCTAAAGATAAATAAAATATTTAAAAAAATACTTTGCTGTCTGCTTTTCTCACTAACTCAAATTTATAGGTTAGACATAGCACCCCCAACACATGATTACAAACAAAAAACTATGTGTATTTTAAACTAGTAGGCAGCGTTATTGGTAAAAATTACCCAAGGCACAGAGAACTGGCTCCAAGAGAAAAACCAGAGACACTGGGGATATAGGCCATGTTTCGTATTAGGATACAACCACAAAACTAGGAATAGCTGTTTTACCCTGTAATTTCTAAGATTCATAGAATTGTGTCTTTGACTTGAAACCAATGTGACCTATGAGCAGAAGGAAAAGAGAAGAGAGCAGCCTGGCATGCTGGGAGGGCTGCCCTGTGCCAGGAACCATGGTGGGCGCCTCCAGAGGGCTGACTGGACCGATCTGCACACCGTCTTTGTGCATTAGAGTCTCACTTTCCATAGAGTAGAAAGTTGAGGGTCAGGGAGTTAAAACAACCAACTCAAGTACCACTTTGCCAAAGGGCCCAAGGGCATTTGGGCGTTACTGGCCCAACCAACTTCAAAACCCGTAATTCTTTATAACATACAAATTCCTCTGTTTCCATCCAGGAAGTCTGGGTGATTTTTATTATTTTTCTCCCCATTTTGTCTTTCACCTTCTCAAAGTTTCTGGATCATTGTACATTGTTTCCCAGGGTTTCCTGGGAGACAGTAAACTCTACCCACCCAGGTTTACAAAACAATGACTCAAATTGCATCTAATGGAGAAGTAGTTCCTGTATAACCTCCCCGTACAATGATGAGGATTTTGGATCATACGCCTTAGTGCTTCTGTGTAATGTGTACACTGTATTCATTTACTTATTTGTGCTTTCTTTTTTTTTCCCTTGTTTTCTGGAGTTTTTTTAAATATATTTTATTGATTATGCCATTACACTTCTATTTTCCCCCTTCATTCCTCTCCACCCTGCACACCCCCCCACCATTCCCCCCTTTAGTTTATGACCATGTGTCTCAAGTTCTTTAGATTCTATATTTCCCATACTCTTCTTGCCCTCCCCCCTATCCATTTTCTACATACTGTCTATGCTACTTATTTTCTGTACCTTCTCCCCCCTTCTCCTCCTCCCAGTCCCCTGTTGCTAACCCTCCATGTGATCTTCATTTCTATGGTTCTGCTCCTGATCTAGCTGTCCTCTTAGTTTGCTTTTGGTTTAGGTGTGGCTGTTAATAACTGTGAGTTTGCTGTCCTTTCACTGTTCATCTTTTTTATCTTCTTTTTCTTAGGTAAGTCCCTTTAACATTTCATATAATAAGGGCTTGGTGATGATGAACTCTTTGAATTTGATCTTATCTGAGAAGCACTTTATCTTCCCTTCCATTCTAAATGAAAGCTTTGCTGTATAGATCAGTCTTGGATGTAGGTCTTTGGATTTCATGACTTGGAATACTTCTTTCCAGCCCCTTCTTGCCTATAAGGTCTCTTTTGAGAAATCAGCTGACAGTCTGATGGGAGCTCCTTTGTAGGTGCCTGTCCCCTTATCTCTTGCTGCTTCTAGGATTCTCTCTTTCATTTTAATCTTGGCTAATGTAGTGATGATGTGCCTTGGTGTGTTCCTTCTTGGGTCCAACTTCTTTGGGTCTCTCTGAGCTTCCTGGATTTCCTGGAAGTCTATTTCCTTTGCCAGATTGGGGAAATTCTCCTTTATTATTTGTTCAAATAAGTTTTCCACTCATGGCTGTTCCTCTTCCCCTTCTGGTACCACTATAATTTGGATGTTGGAGCATTTAAAGATGTCCCGGAGGTTCCTAAGCCTCTCCTCATTTTTTTTGAATTCTTGTTTCTTCATTGTTTTCTGTTTGGTCATTTTTTTTCCTCTTTCTGGACCACTTTTTTTATTTGAGTCCCAGTTTCCTTTCCATTACTATTGGTTTCCTGTGCAATTCCCTTCATTTCAATTAGTTTACCCTTCATATGTTCCTCTAATTTATGACTATAATCAATAAGTTCTGCGAGCATCCTGATTACCAGTGTTTTGAACTGTGCGTCTTAAAGTTTGGCTATTTCTTCATCACTTAGATTTATCGGCTCTGGGACTCTGAGTTGTTCTTGAGCCATGTTTTGATCTGTTTGTGCCCACGTTACATACGAGGAGATGTTCACCAGGGCGGGGCCACCCAGCTCGCTGGTTTGTGACGCTGTATGTGGGGGCGGGATCAGAGAGGGACAATGGCGGTCCCCTCTGCCACTTTCCGCCACTGGGGCCTGCACAGTCTGTCTCACTGCTTCGCTCCTTCACCGGTTTATCTGCACCTGACTGTGTGACTTTGGTCAGCCCTCAGTGAGTCTACCGCCTTGCACCCTCAGTGGGTCCACCCTGGGATCTGCCTACGGCTGCCAGCGTGCCTGGGTTGTGTGCCTGGGTTGCACACCTGGGTAGGTCCAGTGGATCTTTCCTGCCCGACCCCACTCTGCTGCTGGCTCTGCCCCTCTTACCGGTTTGGCTGAAGGGTTGGTTGTTGTCAGACTTCCATGTAGTTCAATTTTCTGTGGTTTGGCTGTGTTTTTGTTGCTAAAACTTTGTTGTTTTTAGACTTGGTCGTGTGGGAAGGTACAGTGCTTCCACCTATGCCTCCATCTTGGCAGAAGTCTCCTGTGCTTTCTAATTATTAGCTATACTTATCCATTTGGTCTTCCTTTGTGACTTCCATGACATAAGATAGAGAAGTGCTAGCAATACTGTATTAATTAATATTTAACAGAGCTGCTTTTTTCTTGCTGCTAAGACAGCTTTAGGACAGACCCCACAAACTTCACATCGCAATGATCATAACATGAAAAGAAATGGTCTGGCCAGAAATGGGCAGACCTCAGCAATACTGCAAGTCCTCCTGAATTAGATTAAAGGCCCTTCCTTTAGTACATGGTGATCTGTAATTGGACACTAATCTTAAGCCACTTATTTTCTTCCTTATACAGGTCGCACTCCCAAAATACCGGACTGGTACAATCCAGGTGAGTTAAGAAATCAGAAATTTAGCCAAAGCTGCCTTTACTTTTTCAATAATATGTTTAGTGTAGTAAAACCCAAGCCTAAGTGCCAGTTTCTGCTTGGTCACATCTTCAACTGAGATGAAGTATCACCAGACAGGGAAGGTGATTGGCTGGGGTGGAATGAGGTCATGAGGGTGGGTTTGTCTTTTCTCTGTGACTCTGGGTAGCAGGGCCACTTTCTGGCTCAGGAGTCCTTGGCTCCTTTCGGGCAGCGTTTTTCTGGCCTGAGAGAACCAGTAATCTAAATGGATTATAATTTTTTTAAAGTTTTGAAGATTAATCCAGGCTTTGAGGGTTAATTTTGGTTTACACAGTCATAATTCTGATATTCTTCTTCTTCAGAGCGTGCTGGAATCCACGGACCTTCAGTCATAATTGAAGGGAGCGAATATTGGTTTGTTGCCGACCCTCACTTAAACTATGAAGAAGCTGTCCTGTATTGTGCCAGCAATCACAGCTCCCTGGCTACGTTAACGTCTTTTGCAGGGCTAAAAGCCATCAAAAACAAAATAGCAAATGTAATTCAAAAGAGTGTCTTTTTAAATATTTTTCTTATATTTATTTCATTAAAAATATTTCAAAAATCTTGCCAAAAATCCACAAAAGTTAAATGTCCCTCTCAAGTGAAATTTCCCCAACAACATTCAGATTCATCATTTCTCATTAGAAATGTTAAGTGTAACTGCTGAATGTTTTAAAATATTCAAGGTTAATTATAACTCTCAATTTATAAAATGAGCATCAATAAGTAGTATGAATTATTCTAATACCTTATCATTTTTTACTAAAAGTTAACTTTATAGTTAACCTGTGTATCTATTTCTACTAATAACTAATTTTGCAAAATAGATTTTTAGAGGAAAAATAATTTGTCCATCTTTAAATTTATAATCAGTTGCAATAGGACACTGTATGTCCAATTAATGTACGCCCATAGTTATAGTAACCATATTTCTGTATGCAGAATAGGGCCTGCAAATATCTAAAGAGTTTTCAAACCGCTTTTTTGGTCAAAGGACCTGGTTTGTGTACTTTAGATACCAAAGTAATGAAATGTCCGGAAATGTTAGTGGTTTGTGGTTGTGGTGGCATGGGTTGTGGTGGAATGGGTTGTGGTTCTATCAAAACTCTTCTAGAAAACTCAGCACATGTCAGGACGGGTGTTTGGTTTGTTTTACAGATATCTGGTGAGGAACAGAAGTGGTGGCTGAAAACTACTGAGCAGCCAATGATAGATCGTCGCTCTATATTGTACGTGTAATCATTTATAAAATTATTTAAAAGAAACAGTCCCAAATTCCCCTTTACTAAATGGATTACTACTTATAATTACTTTTGAACATTAATCCATAAACTGCCTAGCTGCCTAGACTTGAGAAACCAAGTCCTTTTGCAGATTCACAGAATGAAGTGGTATAAAGCAATGTCATAACGTTAATTATAGAATTAATATCACTCACAGTAAACACCAGAATGGACTGTGTAACTGCATTCTGAGTTCTCAGATCTCTCATTTTCTCTAGCTCACGACGTCCGTGGCACCATCACTTCCCTGTAATGTTTGGAGAAGAATGTTTATATCTGTCTGCCAAGACCTGGCTTAACGGTAACAGTGATTCCAAATCCTTTCATGTTGATTATGTCATATGTGAAATTCAGGTTCAATTACTAGTTTAATCTTGTTTTCCCTTTGAGTATGTGTCTGGTAGCTTCATCTTATTCTGATTTATTGCTAATGACTATAGCTCAAATTCCAAATACAAATAAAGATGCTTTTCACTGTGACTATTCTGACTTCCTTTATCCTAAAGTAATTACTTAGAAATAAACTTGGCACTTTCATAACTAGTAAGCATATAGACAAATTTGCAGAGATAAACAGGCAGCAGTTCTAGAATATAGTTTAGGTTCCTTTACCCCTCATTAGCCTTCTTCAATTCCATTTTCTGCCATTAGGAATTGTGGTAACTGGTTGTTACATCATATGTGTGAATTTAATAGGCAGCATTGGTGTGCTATAACCTACTGATGTGAATAATACTAGAAAATATAAATGGCTAGAGAAGTAAAGGAATGTATTGTAACCTTTTGGGAAAGATTGATTTAAAGAGACTTCATTACTGGATCATTTTTAAAGTGTACTGAATGGAAATTCTCACCAGAGCAATCCTTCTTTTCATTTCTCAGACTTAAATAAACCAATAGACTGTAATACCAAGTTGCCCTTCATCTGTGAGAAATATAATGTATCTTCATTGGAGAAATATAGTCCAGATTCTGCAGCTAAAACACAGTGCTCTGGGGATTGGCGTACTTTTCAGAATAAGGTAAAAAGAGAATTGCTGCCTTATGCAAATGATGATTGCTTTCATGGTGGTGGTATGGCTTGTGATAGAATGGTAGCCCATCCAGTAACTTCACTAAGACAGACTCTGCATCTTTCAGTATCTCACCTGGTCCTCTACATTGTCAGAAACCAAGTTAACTCTCCAGTTGGTCATGCCCACAGGTCTTTCCAAATACTGTGCTCCTATTCCATTGCTACTAAACACTTAAACTGCTGAAGTTGATGTGTCAATGGATAGTGATACATGGAGGTCAAGACTATCTCTATGGCATATTAAGAAATTGACTTAATTTCTGACTCATAAATTTTCCCCCTTAAGGAAAACATACAACCTCCATCTACCAGTCAAATGAGACCAGCATTTCCAAAACTACTTTTTGGGGAACTATACATAGGCAAACCAAATGTTAGTGACTGATCCTGCCTCCAAAGTGGAACTTATGTTTAAATAGGTTTGGGAAATGCTGCATTCTACAGGGTCCAAGAGCAGTAAGGCCTGCTTGAGTGTGGTTGGTAGGGCAATAATATGGGTGTAATAATTTATAGTTTAAATTTCACCAAAATGTCATATGTTGTGCTTGAGTGTGATATTGTCATGTTATAGAATTACATGCTTATGATTTTGTAATAAGATATTTCATAATAAAAAAGCAGTGTTATTTGTGCTAGACCCTCCATATCTGCTTCTCTGAGATGTATAATCCGTATTGGTATGTGTACCTCTTATGGAATGTATTTGGAAATAGAGAGATTCTCTATTTCTCGCTGAAAAGAAAGATTTCTACAGTATGTTAAAACATTCTAGTGCGTAAAAAAATCTGAAGGTAAGCAGGTTGGGATTGGTATGTAAAGTCTGTGAATTCTTCAAAACCAGTCTCCTTTTGTCTTTCTGCTCTGCCATCCTTAACACAAGGCTTCGAAGCTCAAATTCAGGGTGTTTTCTTTAGAGTGTTCTAGAAGCCACTGAATGACATGTCTCATTGGCCACTTCATTCTGTATGGAAGCTGAAATAAAAACATTTTGTAGGCTGTTTCAAGGATCACAATTTGGAAACATACTACTCCACACTAACATGATCATAATATCATAAAGGAAAAGAGAGAGATTTATCTGACAGCTGAAAGCATCTGTAGTAAAGTTAAAATGTTAGGGGTACATTTTAATTTTTTTGAATTAGGAAGATCTTTTATCCCCCTAGGTACTGGGACTGAATTTCCACAGTTAATGTAAACTGGGTTATGATATTCTGCCAAGGGACAGGGAGATGCTTTTTTTTTAATGTAGGTTTTTTTAAAATATAAGAAGGTGGTGATTAAGAGTACAGACTTTGAAATCAGGTGTAACAGAGTTTAAAGGCTGACCATACTATTCTATGACTATTTCATTTATGGATAAAGTTGCTTAACTTACCTGTACCTTAGTTTTCCAAGTTGTGAAAATTAAGTGAGATAATACTAAGCAAACTGTTTAGCACAGAGAAAGCACTCACTAAATGGAATATATTTTTAAAAATAGTTCAGAGATCACTCTTCAGTTGCTAGAGAGTGTTAATTGGCATTTTTATGGCACTACTTTATAAATTTTCATATCTCACAGGCCAAAAATTAGCAACCCTCTAAAAGGTGAGATATTTATTTCCTATGTGAGATTTTCTGTGTCTGGAATCTTATGCTTCATGTATGTTCTTTGTTTGCAGTGTTTTCTAATGATCAAACCCAAGTCTCTCACATTTCTTGAAGCAAGTGATACTTGTCACACCTACGGTGGCACCCTTCCTACAGTGTTGAGCCAGAGAGAACAAGGTAGGAGAATTGTTTTGGAGACATGTTTTCTTCTGATCTGGGGGCCCAAGTTAGTTTTGGGATGCTGAGGGGAATTAACATGTTTTTAAATCTTAGGAAACTATTTTTTTACACAGTAGATGAAAGACTATTTTGGTAGTGAGATAAGCAAGAGGTATTCATTGACATATTTAGTATATCTTTAATTTGAATAAGTCAAATGTTTTTTTAAATCTCTTCCTGACAGATTTTATTATATCCTTGCTTCCGGACATGGAAGATGATTTGTGGATTGGTTTGCGCTGGACAGCCTTTGAAAGGATAAATAAGTGGATAGATAACAACGAGCTGACATACAGTAACTTTCACCCATTATTGGTTGGTCGGATAGTGAGAATACAAAAAAATGTAAGTTTTTTTTAATCAATAATCTATGTAGCTCTATGAAATCCTTGAGTCTTCCATAAATTATTGGATTAAGAACAAGGACCTATTATATGAGTCCATTTATATAAAATGCCCAGAAGAGGCAGATCTATCTATAAAAACAGAACATAGATTAGTGGTTACCAGAGGCTGAAGAAGATAGAAGGACTGGGTGTGATTGTGAAAGGGTGTTGGGTTTCTTTTGGGGCTGGTAGAAGTGTTCTAAAATTGATTGGGCGGGGTAATGGTCACGCAAGTCTGTGAGTATACCGAAACTTATGGAATGTATGCTTGAAGTGGGTGAGTTATATGGCATATGAATTGTGGCTCAATAAAGCTGTCACAAGAAGAAGAACAATAACAATATGTGTGCGCCCTGGTTTTCCACTAGAGCATTAGAGCCACAGCCCTCACTTCACAACTACGTAAAACCTTCAAGTAGTGAGTTGCAAACAGAAGCAATTATAAATGCTTTATTTAACATTTTGGGATATGAACCCGTTAGCCTCAGTCTCTTGAGGCAAAAAGTACCAAATTGGTGACTAGCAATCATTCTTCCATAAGGGATAAATATAAAGGAGCTTTAGAAGGAAATGAGGCATTATGTTAACAAGTGTTACTCTGAACCATGAAGACTGCTGCCCATTGTTCTGTTTGCTGGGTACAAACCCCCTTTTGCACAAAAAGCAAAGACGAAGAAATTAACTTTAAAATCAAATTCCAAAAGTACATCCTAGAAAATAATCACCTGATGTTCCTGATGCAATGCAACTTTGTTCGAAATTGATGTTAGCAAAGAGAACTCTGAATCATATGTAATTATGTACAAAGTAAATATCAAATAATCCTTAGTTATTATAGAAAATTATGCAGTTATAGAAAAGTAGACACAATAAAGAAGAACATAAATCTTTATCCCACTTATACTTAGTCCAGTAGCTTTTAAACTTTTAACCATGACCCATAGTAAGAAATCACTTAAATCACCATCCAGCACATAGATACAAATATAATACTGAGTTGACACAATAGTTTTGTCAGGTAGGGCAGATAGGAAACCAAGGCAGGGAGGAGGAGGAGATATGTCTCACCCACTAGCTCAGCAGTCCTGAGCCTGGTTCGATAATCTTGCCAGGTGTTACAACATCACAAAAAACACCATGCTAGTACAGGAGAACAGCAGTCCTTGAAATTCTATGCATCGTCTCCACTCTCTGGGAAAGAAAGCCTTTGAAACCGTGCCTTCATCCTAAGGCCTGAAAGGCAGAAAAGGGCCCACGGTGGCCAAAGGAAGAAGCCCATAAACACCTTTGGGTATTCATGTCCCCCCACTGCCCCAGGAAAGTTGGCAGCACCTTTACCTGTCAATCAATATATAACCTCTTCACTCCCATCCCACCAACTATATCAGTCCTCAGAACAAAGAACTCTCACTCTTGTCCTCTGGCCAGCCAGGTTTCTTTGTTCAACAGATTTTCTTATGTTTCTGAATGAGACAGTTATAATTTGCAAATAGCAATTCATATTTGGCTGCATATGGTAGAAATGCCAAAAGCATGGCAAATACCAGGAGTAATAAACTCCATCCTAAACTTGGTCTACAGTTCAGTGGGCCTGTCTGCAGGCTTTCATTGTTTGAGTATTACATATGCTGTTGCCTCATTGTTTAAGGTATATCATTGTACAACTACTCATTTAGAATTTTTATTTAGAAATAAGTACTGGATTTTTCTAAAACTTGTTTCCAGGATCTATTGAAATTGTCATAAAGCTTTTCCCATTCGGCCTGTTTTCATGTGGTATAATACATTAATAAATGTTATATTAAACCGTCCTTATATTCTCACAAAGTCTAGTTGCTCATTGTGGATTGTTATTTTACTATTCAACTGAATTTGATTTGTTAGAAATTTATTTGGAATGTTTTTATCTCTGTTCATACAATTCATTTTTTATGCTGTATTATCAGATTTCTTTTTTTTATCATGTGGACTTTATAAAGTGAACTCAGTAGCTTTCTGCCTTTGTGTTTTGAAATTAGGTCTCAGTAGGACTCAGTCTGGGGAATTATCTTTCCCAGAAGGTTTGAAGAAACTATCAACGAAACCATGTGATGTTGGAAACCTTTTCAGAGACTGTTCTTTAATAATAAAGGGATTTGGTGCAGTAGTTGATGGCCTAAACTCTAGAGGCACACTGTCTGGGTTTGAATTCCATTCAGCTATTTATATGTCTTTTGAAGTTCACTTAACTTCTCTTAAGCATTTAGTGTGCTTTGGGGAGTTCACCTAACATTTTTTATCTGTAATGTTTCATCTGATACTGTTGAACTTGCCATACAGTGTGAGGATTACATAAGGCAACTCATTAAAAGCCTTTAGTATGATATGATATCTGGCACAGGATTTTTAAAATCAGCTACTTATGGTTAATTTTTTATTTTCTCTAAAGTTATTGGTACATTTTGGTGTTTCTACATCTTATAACAATGATGCTAATTTTTATTTTTCAGGAAAGTTGTCTGTTTCATTTATATTTTCAAATATATAGATAAAGTTGTATATGTACTATCTTTTTAAATCTCCATGTCTCATTTCGATTGTTTATCCTATTTAAATTTTTATAAACACTGATGTATGTTATTGGTGTTCAACTCCTTTTTTATCCTTTACTCCTATTGCTTGAGGTATATTTATTAATACTACTATATTTTTCTATTCTGTTTTTTTTGTAGTTATATTTTTGCTGATTTTCTAATCTTAGTCCATCTTTTAAAAAAGAATACATTTATAATCACATTTGCCTCGACATAAACTTTGACTCATATCCCTGGTAATATTGCTCATATTATTTTTTCCTATATTTTTAATTTTTTGTTTAATGTTTATTGTTTAGCATATTTGTTGTTGTTTTTTAATCTGCATATCCTGGTTTAAGTCTTTCTTGTTTTTGTAATTGTGTTATGTTTCAAACATACAAAAAAGTATAGAGACAATACACTTTGAATAAACTTTTGTGTGTACTATCACTGATTTGTGGCCAGAGAATGAAATCTGGGTAGGCATTTTTATTTATGTTGACTATTATAGGATTAATAGTGACTATTATAGGATTAAATTTTTAAGGTGAGTTTTCCACGTGTAGTAAAAAAATTGTCAAAAGTTTATAAACATCTAATAAGTTCAGTTAATAACCATTACTTTTTTTTTACTAACTTGAAACAGCAAGAATGGTAGGGCTTCAAGAGCAGAGCCCTGACTGGTGTGGCTCAGTTGGTTGGTGCCAGCCCGTAAAGTGAAAGGTGACCAGTGTGATTCCCAGTCAGGGCACCTGCCTGGGTTGCAGGGTTCGGTCCCCAGTCGGGGCGCATATATTTCTCTCTCACATTGATATACCTCTCCCTCTCTTTCTCCCTCCCTTTCCCTCTCTCTGAAAAAAAAAAGTGAATAAAAAATTTTAATATTAGTATAATTGTATTTTTGTCTCATCTCTAACAGTTTATCTTTTTAAAGATATATTTATTAATGTTGCCATTATTTTATTTTATACTCTCTAAAGTTTCTTGCCCTTGTGCTTTGGAAGTTCATCAGGGTTTTCCTAGTGACTTCATGGTCAGCTCCTTAGTGGAATTTTTTATAGGAGGAGAAGTCCAGTTTGGAACGTAAAGTTCTCTTGCTCAGGTCTTCAGACTGGGTTTCATGATTGCGTGTATCTGTTTGCCTTTTGTTTAGTTGTTTGACGAAGAGTCCCACTACCACTGCGCGCTGATGCTCAACCACCGCAAGTCGCCTTTTGCTGGGACATGGAATTTCACTTCCTGCGGTGAACGCCACACTCTGTCTCTCTGTCAGAAATACTCAGGTATAGATATTACCTAGGTAACTGTGGTACTTCATGATGTTAGATATGTACAGTATTTTTAATAAAAATATTATAAGTGAATTAATATTAATTTTTAATTGTATAGCTTTCTCAAAATTTTGACATGACTAAATTCATATTGGCTCAGTGATCAGATTATCTCAAGTGGAATGTGATTTTTTTCAAGTATCATTGGCATACTTAATTAAAAATCAAAATTAGGTATCAAATGGAATTTCTTAATTGGAGATATCTAATGATAATAAATTATAGTTGAATTTTACTCTCTTTCCTACTCTGGCACTTTTTACATTTTACCTTCTATCATGGGAAAAGGAGGAGGAAAACTTAATGTTTTCAATTTAGTTCAGTATAAACATGCACAGTTAAATTTAGCACTAAAAAAGGATGTGAAACATTTATAAATGGATCACTGTGACTTTCTATAAGCCAAATGAAACTAAAAGGTTTGCTTAAAAGTAGGAATCATTCATATTTTCAAAAATATATTTTACAAAGGTATTGAATTGTTTTCACTGATCACAATAAATTTTTAACGAATAAGTTTTTTAAAGATTATTTATTTATTCATTCCTAGTGAGAGGGAAAAGGAGGGAGAAAGAGAGGGAAGGAAACATCAGTGTGGTTGCCCCTCATTTGTCCCCCTACTGGGGACCTGACCCACAATGCAGACATGTACCCTGACTGGGAATCGAACTAGCAACCCTTTGGTTCACAGGTTGGCACTCAATTCACTGAGCCACACCAGCCAGGGCCAAATAAATTTTTTTTTTTAATTTTGTATGTAGTAAGAATCTCAGGTAGATAATCTGTGTACTTCTGAAGAGCTTTTTGCTAAATTAATCTTTGCTCATTTGTTTCATACTTTTTAGTAACTGCTCTACTTAGAAAAGAACTATAAAGCAATAATATATATATATATATATATATATACACATACCACTCTTGTGGGTGGTTTTGTACTTTTGTCATGGGAACTCCCTCAGATGAAAACTTTGTAATGGAACACCTCTTATTGAAGCAGTTCAGACAAAGGAGGTGTTTACCACCAACCTGAAATGGTGATTTTCTCTTAGCCTACTTTTAGTTACCGCTTTTCTCCTTCCTAAATCACATCAACTAAAACAGAATTATTTTCTGATTTTAGAAAACACACGTTGGGGCTCATATATTTTACATAAGTTATACAGGAAGACATAGCTTCTTCTCCCACCCAAAATCTAACATAAATGAGTAGATAAAGTATATAATATCTAAACTATATCATACTGGGGAAAAATTCTTAAATATCATATGACTTGTGTGGTTTGTGGGGTTTTTTTTTCTTTTACACACAGAAATTGAAAGCAGCCAGACCTTACACAATACTTCAGAAACTGTAAAGTATCTAAATAATCTGTACAAAATAATTCTGAAGACTCTGTCTTGGCCTGATGCTCTGAGGGAATGTCAGAAAGATCACATGTACCTGGTGAGCATCACAGACCCCTACCAGCAGGCCTTCCTGACTGTGCAGGCGGTCCTTCGGAACTCTTCCTTGTGGATCGGACTCTCCAGTCAAGACGTAAGTTTTCAGTCCCCACTGCCAGGGCTGGGCAGCGGGATGTGACAAGTTTTTATTGTGCACAGCGTCTCTCATATCAGACGAAAAGAAATCAGAGGTCATAAAACCTTACTCCCATGAAGGGATTTCATGAAGTATGTAACTTTTAGTGACAGTTGTCTTTCCGCTGTTGAAAGATCTGGTGCTTTATTGTTTAGATTAAGAAAAAGTTCTTGTGGACATGTAGAGCCGATCACTTCTTCTTCTGTATCCAATCAAGGACTGGGCTGGAGTCGGGAGCTGCCCTGTCTCCTCAGCCAACCAGGAGAAGAGAGGAAGGGAAGAATTAAAAAATCAGATGGGGCCCGGTGTGTAGAAGCACCGTGGGTGGTGTTGAAGAGTCCTCTGTATCACTTGTAGAATCAGCAGAGTGAAATTAAGCCACTCTAAGAAGAGATTAGAATAGTGTTTCTCTACATCTCAAGCCTTATCCTGGACAGATGTCTTGGGTACTTCCATTCATTTCATAGCCCAGCAAGGAATGCTAGTCTCCTATAACTACATACAGGTAGTACGAATGGGAATGTTTATGCTGCTAAAGCTTTTGGTTATAATTAACAGGGCCTTTTTAAAAATAAAGCAGTAATATTCTTCTCAGTGTTACAAGCCACTTTGCCTCTTTTCTAGGCCTTCTGTATAATACTTTGATACTCTACCCACTGAGATGTATTACAGAGTAAGATATGGGGTGGAGTTTAAGGCCGCATTTGTTATGCAGTGCACAGAGGGTGCTCTTTACCAAGACTGCAGCTTGAAGTTTGCTTCCTGCGTCTATACCATGCATGACTGGAGAAGCCCTAGTTAAATAAACATCACCTAGAACAGTATTTCTGATTCACTCTGAGAAAGAGAATGATTGGCGATGTGGGAAACAGGAGTGAGCCCATTGCCTTGTGAAGCAATCCAGAGTCACGCAGGCCTTGGTTAAGAAAACTGTCGGTACACCGAGATGGTTTGGGGCTGCGTGGAAAAGGTGTGATCCGAAGACAGTTTAGTCCTGGCGCAAACCCAGAGCCAAACCGGAAAACAAACTTGCAAGTAACCATTATCTTAGACGAACTTCGGATTTTCTACCACCAGCACTTACCAGAACCTCAGTTAAAAGGAGTATTTAGAAATTGCTGGCAAATAGTTTCTCTAAGATTCAGGATATTTTAAAATGTACCCCAAGTCAAGCCAGATCATAAGCTTGACCTGCTTCCCCAGACTTCACAGTATCAGTTTCTTCACAATGGTTTTACTTATTTTCTCTTTGGTTTTTGTTATCATGTGAGACCCATCATTCTCTCTCTTATGAGGGTAGTAATGTTATTATATTTCCTAGTTTCAATGACATTAAATCTCCTGAAACGAAAGCAATATTGCACATGTAGAAAATTTGTAAAGTTTTAGTAAATGAAGATAAAATACTTAAATTAGCTATAGTCCCACTACCTAGTGATAAATATAGTTGGGTGTGTATCTTTCAAGTTATTTTTTTCTTTGTACACATATTTATTTTTAAGATATTCGAGATCATACTGTTTTGTAGGTTTTTTTCCCCCATTTAATGATTTGGGTCTTGTTTCTTATCCTATTTTTCAGTCTTTACCTATGTTTCTCTTTTTTCCTGTTACTTTTTATTTTAAAAAATTCTATGAATCTTCATAGGCTGCCTTAAATCTTTAGAACATGACATTGTATAAATAAATAAAACTTTACATTGAAAGGTGTTTCAGTGAAAGATATTTCCTTTCATGATACATTAAAGGAAAAACTCTAAACATGGTAACAGCAAGATCAGTTTTTTGGTTAAGAAAAATTATACTGGGCAGCAGGTTGGGGAGGAAGTGAGTGATCTAGAGACAGACTAGTTAGAATCCTGCAGGAACTGCTGCAGGAAATGTCCCGCAGTGTGCCGTTCTGGGACACATGAAATCCAGACTGTGACTGTGCACTAGGTCACTCAAGTATATAGAAGCAGGGGAAGTCAAGAAAGCTTGGAAACTGGGTGAATCATCCATGCGACACTGACATCCCTAAATCTGCAGTAGGACCAGGGGCAGAGCAAGACATGGAGATTCTCCGTAGTGAATGTCGGGAGGATCAAGTGGGCCAGATCCTCAGTGACCGTCAGAGAGGCCAGGAATCTGGAGTTTTCAGTGATGAAAAGGGCATAGTCCTCACGAGAAATGACTGAAGGAGATAAAAATACCCCATTCTCATAGTCCTACGATATTTGACGGTGGAAAAATAAAGAGGCTTCCCTGTGGGTGCTGAATGGAAATTATTTTCTTAGAAAAAGACAGGTTTTAATTAAGGTCAAGAATTTAGTTAAGAGGTATGTATAGTCTTAATAAAGAGACTTAGTATTCAGTAAAGAGATGGCAGGTGTGGGATGATTTATCTACGAGGAATACAAGTTGCAGAGGCCCAGGGACCTGGGTTGGCTGGGAGTGCAGCAGAGGGGGCGGAATCCAGGGTGATCCGGAGAACAGGCAACATCACGTGGCCAAAGGGCCACATTGGAAGCCACATGGCCTGGACGCTCACCAGGCACAAGTTACAAGTGGAATTCTGGTGGAGAACAGCTCGGAATGAAATATTGGTGGTGTCAAGGCCTGACTATGTTTGCTATTTATGGTTCACTGAGGGGGCAGTGTGGCCTTTGCCCAATATTCCAAATAAATCAGTGATACAAAATGACTGTGGCCCTCAGGAAAGCTTAGCTTCGTGAGTCAATGTGTGAGGCCTGGGGCTCTGGCAGCACCATGGAGAAGCTTGACAGGACTGGACCCCACAGTCCACCTTCTAGACTTCTGCACCTACTCTGCCAAGCCTCCTCCAGACAGGTGGGAGGTCAGGCCCTTGTCTGGATGTAACGACAGACTCTGAGTGCACAATAGAACATAGCCATAAGGAAGCATGTCCCCACAGTCAAGTGCAAAAGCAGTGCTGTGATATCCACATGGTCTGAGGATTAGGAGAAGGGAGCTAGCATATGCAGCTCTCTGTGTGTACCAGCTAGCCACTGAGTTGTGTGTTTTACACGTGTTATGCTATTAGTTCCAGCCATAAGGTTAGGTGTCACATCCATTTAATGGCTTAGGGGTTGGAAAACTGGTGAGGTAAACTCACAATCAAGAACTAGTAAGTGACCAAACTAGAATTCAAAACTAGGTGTACTTAGCTCCGAAGCCCATGTTCTGCCCATGACTACATGCTGTCTCTAACTTTATCAAGATTTCCAGTGGTCCTCATTCCATTTTAGCTTTCTGATTTCTAACAACCAACAATGCTGATAATGTGTGAAGCATCATAGTATATGTAGTAATTCAGACCATGGATGCTAGGGTGTGACAGCCTTAGAATTCCTGCACCACACTTTATATTCTATGTGACTTCCTGCACACTACCTGCCTTCATTCTCCTCATCTGTAAAATGTATATAATAGTACCTCTCTCATTTGATTGTTATGTAGGCTAAATAACTAAATAAGTTAATATTTCTAATTATTATTTAGAACAGACCCTGGCATGTAGTAAGTGCTATATAAGGGTATGTTAAATATAAAATTAAAAGTCCGATTAGCCACGAGGTTGACTGCTAGGGCCAAAGCAATACAAAAGGGATAACATAAAGTATTGCCATTTGAAGTGTATTTTTGCTCCTTGCAGGATGAACTCAACTTTGGTTGGTCAGATGGAAAACATCTTAAGTTTAGTCGCTGGGCTGAAAATAATGAGCAACTTGAGAACTGTGTGTTTTTAGACACTGATGGATTCTGGAAAACATCTGATTGTGATGCTAATCGGCCAGGTGCAATTTGCTACTATCCAGGAAGTATGTTAAATTCAAATATGTTATTTCCTAAATTACTATCAAGTCTCATGAGTAGTGGAATTTGAGGGAAGTAGTTCTGTAAAATCCATAAAGGTCCTTTTAACAACAAAACTTGTGAAAATGTATATCCAACTAGAATTATTATATATTAAGTATTTTGTCATTAATTTGTTATTCTACACATGTTTTATCTTTGTCAGATGACAATGGTATTGACCTTTTAGTTTTAAGCTTCCATTACCCTCATTTTGCATATATTTTCTGTTTATATGCTTATAGAATATCTTATATTTGTGGAAATTCTTTTATAATTCTTACCAGCAACTAAAGTTTCTTCTGTGAGTCGCTGTTAAGATTCATTTGATTGTAAGAAACAGCATCCAGCTGAAGCTAGCCTAAACTAAAACAGTATTTTAGATTCTCAAAAATGGGGGTAGAGCTAAGCCTCTTAAGGACTAAGAACCAGAACCTGGTACCTGTCCTTTCTGTGATCTGCGCCCCTCCCTTTATCCACATCCTGCTTCTCTCTGCGCGGTGACACATGGTGGCTCTGAATCTTCCACTTGCAACTGTCACTGGAGGTGAACTGACTGTCTCTGAATTCCACTTTTCAGTTTCTTAGAGAGAATCTGAAGGACTCAGCCTGAGTCAGGTATGCAATTTCTAGCTCAGTCAGAGGAAAGTGGTTTCACAACAGCCAGAGGTCCACATTTGTGGGTCTGGGGTGAGAAGAAGACATGACTTCACAAAGGAGCTAGTCGTGAGTGGAGAGTGAGCAACATGAAATGGTCTCTCCTGTGTACTAAAGCTGTTTGAATGGAGTGTGTCTGTACTTGATCTTGAATGCATGGCCTTTTCACAAAATGGAAAAAAAAAGATCAGGTTTTCTGGAGGTCAGATTTTAAATTCTTTCTGTTTGCTTTGGGGAAAGCAGTAACTTATTCAGCCCATCAAATATTTTGTCAAAATGTTCCCTTAAAACTGGAGAAGATATCAGTAACCAGACACTTGAAGATGAATTCTGTAAGTTCTAGTTAGGTGCCTGTTACTGTGTTTGGATAGTTCCTCTGAGGTGGCCTCTTGTACTCGAAGTTTGGAGATGCAGGAAGACGAAAACTACAATTAACTGAATAGCACCTCATCTTTTACATTCTTCCACTCACTCCACAGCAGGGGAAAGAAAACTACTGTGTTAAGTAATTTCTTTCTTCCCTGACTGGTGTGGCTTAGTGGCTTAGTGGTTTGGGCGTCATCCTGCAGATCCAAGGTCCTGGGTCGCAGGCAGCATTTCCCAGTTGGGGGCATGTGAGAGGCAGCCTATCGCTATTTCTCTGTCACATCCGTGTTTCTCTTAACTCTTTTTCCTTCTCTTCCCCTCCTCTAAAAATAAATAAATAAAATCTTTAAAAAAATGTTTTAAAATAATTTCTTTCCTACAGAAAGCCAGTGAAGAGATCACATTATATTGAGTATAAGCAGAACAAGCATCACCAGGCTATTATTTCTTGGTGTCCTGAATAAATATTTTCTACTAATCAAGTCTAATTACTATAAACAGAATTGAGCATTTATATCTAAAATTAGTATTTATACCATTAATTCTTTTTTCTAGATGAGACTGAAAGAGAGGTGAAACCAGTTAACAGTGTTCACTGTCCATCTCCTGTGTTAAATACCCCGTGGATACCATTCCAGAACTATTGCTACAACTTCATGATAGCAAAGAACAGATTTATGCCAGTAACACAAGATGATGTTCATTCTAGATGCCAAAAACTGAGTGAGTAAATTATATGGCCATTCTATATTGCATTGTGCTCATTTTAAAATATCTTGCTGAGTATGTTATAAATATTTCTAATTAGCACTAGTAACAAGATCTCAAAAATATTCACCTCTTAATTTACACATTATCAACTACAAAGTATTAAAATTTGTGTTTAGTTAAAATAGAAGGTACAAGAGTTGCCTCTTTCTTTACCCATACACCAGAGAACTAGGCTGTCTTTACATGTGTAAATAAAATGGGTTCTATAGTACTTAAAGAAAATAAATGACACTAGGTAGCAGAGAACTGGATGTTAAATCAAGCTGGGCTATTGGAAAAAATGAAAATAAGTTAATTTGGCCCTGGCCGGGTACCTCAGTTGGTTAGAGTGTCATCCTCATATGCCAAAGTTGCAGGTTCGATCCCCAGTTAGGGCCCCTTCTGAGAACATGTTTTGAAGAAATGGGTTTACCCTCCTCCTTCATTTACAGGACTGTCTTGGTGGCTTTGTTTGCTGGGACAAGGCCCACAACCTGTGCCTCTCCAATTGATCCTTACTTTTTAATTTAAATAATTCATTTTAAAATGAAATATGTGAGGCTTTCTTTAATTCCTCCTCAGTTCTCAATTTTACAAAGGAAGAGATATACCATTCAAATAAAGTAGGTGAACAGGGACTCAAAAAAAGTTCATTTGAATAATCAAAAGCTTAGATAAGCCACAAAGAAGCAGTCTGCTTTTTAAAAATACATATATATATTTTACACTTTGAAGACTCTTTGGATATTTCCTGTGAGGCCCACTGAGGATTTGCAGTTTCTGAACTGTGGGCCTATGAAATTTGTGGAAAGTTCCTGTGGAAAATATCAAGCCATTATCCCCCAAACTGTGCTCCACAGAACACATCTTAAGTGATGCTCTACAAAAAAAAAGGATCCTCTGAAAAAGAACACTATTAAGCAACTCTACACATGATCACTTCCTGTTAGAGATGATCAATGTGTATTTGCATATTTTTTGAGGAATATACTGGCAGAACTGAATTGAACGAACTCGATTTGTTTATCCAGTGTATGCAACGCTTTTATCTATGTAGCTCTTTTCTGGATAACCCTACTAATTCCCGAAGGAGCACACTGTGGGAAATACCAAACTACTTTAACCCTAATTTAAGAGTGATTACTAAGAAAAAGGAAGATCTGTCTTATAGCCCATTCAAGCAGTTTTATTTATAATAGTCTCTGATAATGCATCATTAATGCAGGTGGATTTGTACCAATTCAAAATAAGCTTTAAATAGAGCAAAATGAAGTGAATCAGTTTTAAATTCACTAGTCAACTACTGGCTTGTCACTATTCTATAAGACCTGATTTAAGGTTTCCGGCAAAGATGGAGGCGTAGATAGACATATTGTGCCTCCTCGCACAACCAAAAGAAGGACAACAACAATTTAAAAACAAAAATGACTAGAACTGACAGAAAACTGAACTGTATCAAAGTCTGACAACCAAGGAGTTAAAGACGACACATTCATCCAGACCAGTAGAAGGGGCGGAGACAGGCAGCTGGGAGGAGAGGACTTGTAGCAAGGCAGTGGATTGCAGACTGGGTGGTCCCACATTCATGTACAGATAAACCAGGCAAAACTGGGGAGCGAGACAGACCGCATAACCCTGGGTCCCAACACAAAAAAATAAAGCCTCAAAACACCAATTAAAAACACCTGTGGGGGTTGAGGTGCAGGGAAAGACTCCCAGTCTCACACGAGAGTTTATTGGAGAGACCCACAGGGTCCTAGAATGGACACAAACCCACCCACACAGGAATCAGCACCAGAAAAGCCAAGTTTGCTTGGGGGAAGTGGGGGAAGTGACCGAGATCCAGCAGAAAGAGGAGCAAGCACCATTGTTCCCTCTCAGACCCCTGCCCACATGCAGTGTCACAACCCAGGGAGATGGGCTACTCCGCCCAGGTGTATACCTAAGGCTCCTCCCCTCACTTAACAAGCACATCAAAAAAAATGGCCCAAACAAAAGAACATATCAAAGCTCCATAAAAAAATACAACTAAGTGATGAAGAGATAGCCAACCTATCAGATGCACAGTTGAAAACACTGGTGATCAGGATGCTCACAAAATTGGTTGAGTATGGTCACAAAATAGAGGAAAAAGTGAAGGCTATGAAAAGTGAAATAAAGGAAAGTGTACAGGGAATAAATAGTGATGGGAAGGAAACTGGGACTCAAATCAGCGATGTGGAGCAGAAGGAAGAAAGAAATATCCAATCAGAAAAGAATGAAGAAACAAGAATTCAAAAAAATGAGGAAAAGCTTAGGAGCCTCCAGGACATCTTTGAACATTCCAACATCCGAATTATAGGGGTACTAGAAGGAGAAGAGGAACAGCCAGGAGTGGAAAACTTATTTGAACAAATACTAAAGAATTTCCTCAATCCATCAAAGGAAATAAACTTCCAGAAAGTCCAGGAAGCTCAGAGAGTCCTAAAGAAGTGGGACCCCAGGAGGAACACACCAAGGCACATCATCATTACATTAGCCAAGATTAAAATGAGGGAGAGAATCCTAGAAACAGCAAGAGATAAGGAGGCAGTTACCTACAAAGGAGTTCCCATCAGACTGTCAGCTGATTTCTGATAAGAGACCGTACAGGCAAGACAGGGCTGGAAAGAAGTATTCCAAGTCATGAAAGGCAAGGATCTACATCCAAGATTACTCTGTCCAGCAAAGCTTTCATTTAGAATGGAAGGGCAGATAAAGTGCTTCTCAGATAAGGTTAAGTTCAAGAAGTTCATCATCACCAAGCCCTTATTATATGAAATGTTAAAGGGACTTATCTAAGAAAAAGAAGATGAAAAATATGAACAGTAAAATGACAGCAAATTCACAATTATTAACAACCACACCTAAAAGAAAAACAAAAACTAAGCAAACAACCAGAACAGGAACAGAACCACAGAAATGGAGATCACATGAAGGGTTATCAACAGGGGAGTGGGAAGAGGAGAAGGGGGAAAAGGTACAGAGAATAAGTAGCATAAATGGTAGGTAGGAGATAGACGGGGGGAGGGTAAGAATAGTATGGGAAATGTAGAAACCCAAGAACTTAAGTGTATGATACATGGACATGAACTAAAGGGGAGGGAGTATGGGTGTGAGAGGGTGTGCAGGGTGGAGAGGAGTGAAGGGGGAAAAGTGGGACAACTGTGATGGCATAATCAATAAAAGATGTATTTTTTAAAAAGACCCGATTTGATATCAAAATGTTTAAAGACCTCTTAACCTATTCATTTTATACAATGAAACAGTTTTAACTGACATGTCTTTCTTCCTTTCTGCTAGTATTTCAGTTTGGGAGTATACTAAACTGGGAAACTAACTTTATAAATAAAAAAAAATAAAGTGCTCTAGATAAATAAATAATTGTTAAAATTATTGACTATTTTTTATTTAACAGATCCCAAATCACATATTCTGAGTATTCGAAATGAAAAAGAGAATAACTTCGTTCTTGAGCAACTTCTGCACCTTAACTATATGGCATCATGGGTAATGTTAGGTGTAATTTACGAAAGTAAGTTGTAAATATGATAATTTTCTCTACATTTATACTTCACTGTAAACTACTTATCAAGCTATAAAAGTGTAGTTCTTCAAAGTATGTGTTTGTTAATATGCAAAATTATAACTAACACTTAGCATAGCATATAAATACCAAGATAGTTTTTGTGTCTCTTTTCTGCCATTAAAATGTCTTTACCACCAAGCTTAGAGTTAAATGGTAGAAAATAATTTTCTTTCTCTGCTCTCCCTCCTAGCAGTTCAAGACTAACCTAAAATGATCACACTCCCATATAAATCTCCAATACTTAATTTGTGTCTGTACTAGGTATGTGGGATGAGTGAGAACAGAATTATACTTCTACTAATGTTACACCTGTGGATTTATAGCCCACAGGTATATACATTATATATATTAGCAAAATGGGGCACCCAGTCTGACAATGGAGTAGAATATTTAAAATTGGGACTAAATACCACAAATCCAATATATAGTCACTATAAAATATTTTAAAACACAGACTCTAATAATAGGGTAAATAAGACCAACTCAGATACTGAATTAGAGATGTCCTGACCATCATAAAATTTTGGAATTAGAAAAAAGTCACTCTATGGTGACTTTTTATGAAAAGTCATAAATCATCGAAAGTATGCATTTACCCAAAAATGTTAATGTTAATATAGTATAATTTGTAACACTTAGTTGATAGTATAGTTGGTACAACAAAATTTTAAATTCTAATGAAGTCCAATGTATCAGTTTTTTTCTTTTATCACTTGTGCGTATCTTAGAAGGCTTTGCCTACCCCATCATGAAGATGTACTCCTCTGTTTCCTTCTGTTTTATAGTTTCAGCTCTACATTTAGATCTATTCACTATTTTGAGTTAATTTTGTATATGGTGAAAGGAAAGGATCCAGCTTCATTTTTTTTCTGTAGAGATTCCTGTTCTCCCAGAAACTGTTTTTTCACCATTGAATTGTCTTGGCATCCTTGTCAAAAAGTCAGTTGACATAAATGTGCATGACTGCGTAGGGTTCAGGTCCAGAGAAGAGACTTCTGTCACTAGTTTGATAATACATTATTTTTTATAAAATAGTCACATTCATTTTCATTGCAATTAAACATATACATAGCAGAAATGACTGATGGAAGATAACAAAATATAAAGTTATTGCAGAATGGTGGAATTCTATAATTCTGCAATAAGTTTGACTTTTGTGTTTATAATTTGTACTTTCCAAATTAAAAATAAGCATGAAAAAAGAATTGTTTTAGATGGATATACATAATCATATAATCTTTTAGAAAATGGAGAAAGAAGAAAGAAAAGTTGAGACTGAAATATTAACCTCATAACTGTCATTCAAGTATTGATTTAATCTCTAAGCATAGACTAACTGTTTCTTCATTAGATAATTCTCTCATGTGGTCTGACAAGACCACGCTGTCATATACGCACTGGAGAGCAGGAAGACCAGCTGTAAAAAATGGCCAATTTTTTGCTGGCTTGAGTACTGATGGCTTCTGGGATATTCAAGCCTTTAACACTGTTGACGAAATACTTTACTTTCATCAGCACAGCATTCTTGCTTGTAAAATTGAAATGGGTAAGTATGCTAATATAGAGCATGCCCTCCAGGGAAGGAGAATGTAAAGCCATTACCTCCACTAGTAGTGGAAATCTTACAGCTATATTTTCTGAGTGCCTCCCTGGGATTCAGCCCTATGGGGGGTGCCGCAGAGGTTACAGAGCAGCGAAGAGACACCATCCCTGGTGTATAGTCTTGATCTCAATGAGTAAAATGTAGCCAGGGAGACAGCACTAAATCCTTTATCATTGTTTTATGTAGATTACTCTTAGTTTACTCAGAAAGTCAAAATAGACCAATGAAGACAAGGAATTCATGGAGCAAATAAAACTTGCCAGCGACCTGAAGGATGGATACAATTTATATAAATAAGAAAGTGGCCCTGGTTTGTGTGGCTCAGTGGATTGAGCACCAGCCTGCAAACGGGTCACTGGTTCAATTTCCAGTCAAGGCACATGCCTGGGTTGCAGGCCAGGTCCCCAGTGCAGGGCACTCAAGAGGCAATCACACACTGTTATTGCTCTCCTTCTCTTTCTTCCTCCCTTTCCCTCTCTCTAAAAATAAATAAATAAAATCTTTTTAAAAAGAAGGAAAAAAAGTATTTAGGTAGAGTTTTGACATTGCGGGCTAAAAATGAGTATCTCTCAACCTTGCCTAATTCCTTTAAAAATCTATTTTTAAATGCATGTCGGGTTTGAGTTCTTCACAGCTTAAAACTGTTAAATAGTACGGCCACCCTGCTGTAAGCCTTCTGGGAACATGGAGCCTCTCACAGTCGTATCCGGGCTGATCTTCCCCCTTCAGGCGCTGCAGATAACTTCCCAGAGCATCGTTTCCATCGACAGCCTCCAGAGATTTTCTATTATCAATTACTTTGAGTGCATGTAAGCTTTTGAGGCTCTTTAGAAACCACTTTCTATTCTAAAATTCTAGGCTTTCTCCCAGCCCCATTTTTCTTCCTTTCTTGGCTCAGTGAAGACATTTGCTGCCATGCTGATCTCTTAATTGTCCCACAGGCAGTGCATGCCCATCCTCCTCTGTACCTTTATTTATGGTTATTTCCTGCCAAGAAGTCTCAACTTCTTTCTGTTTTTTTTATAACTTTAGTAAACTTCTCATTTTTAAATGGTTTTAGATTTTCAAAAAAGTTGCAAAGATGGTACATAGACTTCCCATATATTACTGTAACCAGTTTTTCCTATTGTTGACTTCTTACGTTAGTATAGTACATTTGTCGCAATTAATAAACCAATATGGATATGTTATTATCGACCAAGTTCATACGTTATTCCAATTTTCTTAGTTTTAACTGAGTGTCATTTTTCTGTGTGGGGTTCCATTCAAGATACCATGTTACATTAGTCTCTACGTCTCCTTAGGTTCCTTTTGGTTATGACAGTTTCTCAGATGTTTCTACTTTCAGTGACCTTGATAGTTTTGAGGAGCCCCGGTCATGTATTTTGTAGAATGTCCCTCAGTTTGGGACATTCGGTAATGCTTGTCAGGGTTTTGCACTGCAGGGTTACTCTTTTTTTCCCCTTTCCATGCTTTGTGAGGAAGTCACTGTACTCAGTGACCGTGGAGAGTTATCGCCCACCTTCCTGAAGGGGGAAGTACCTATGTAAATCATTTGGAATTCTACCGCACCGAAGGTTTATCTACTTCCCCCCATTTAAAAATGCATAGTCATTTAATGAATTAGTCAGAAGGAAAAATACCCTATGTCTTCATTTATACACAGAATCAAAAGAACAATATAAACAAACAAACAAAAGAGAAACTGACTCATAGATACAGAGAACAGACTGATGGTTGCCAGAGGGGAGAGGATTGGGGACCTGGGTGAAAAAAAGTGAAGGATGAGAAGTACGGATTGGTAGTTACAAAACAGGCATGGGGAATAGAGTCAGTAATATTGTAATTACTATGTTTGGTGCCAGGTGGGTACTGGAAATGTCTGAAGGAACACTGTAAAGTATATGATTGTCTAACCACTGTGCTATACACCTAACACTACTTGAAAAATAATACTGAGTGTAAACTGTAATTTAAAAAAACCTTTTCAGTCATTTATTTAGATCAGTATGGGCTCATGGTTATTTCATACTTGGAATATAATTGGGTGTACTACATTGTTTATATTTTGCTCAAATTGGGAGCTCTTTCACTTGGCTTCTGTGTCCTTTTGAAATATTCTATTGCGGTTTTGTTATAGTTGTTATTTGTTTGTTTTTAACTCACTTTCTAGTTACTGTATTTCTTTTTAGTCCTAATTTTACCTAACCCTACCTCTGGATACCTAATTGTTCAAGCAGGCTCTCTGACTCCCCTAAGTCGGAGGAATCTCTCCTCCTCTAGTCAGGTACGTGTATTCTGCTAGGTAATTATTTTGCCCACATTTCAGGTGGTGGTGTTTTCTGTCCACAAGTAATATGTGAGCTCCTTAAATAAAAGACACTATGTATGCCTCTTTTTTAATTAACCAGACCACTGTAATATTTAAGAGCCTATTAAACGTGCCATGGCAGTAAAAGAAATAAAGTATGCAGTGGACCTCACTTCTTAATCAGAAACCCAGTTTTATGTAACTTTTGAAGTGATTGTACAACCAGTCTTACCCAAAGTATGTATTTTAAATAATTTAAATTTAATCACTGACACTTTTCCTTTAAATGTTGTAGTTGACTACCAGGAGGAATATAATACTACTCTGCCACAGTTTATTCCATATGAAGATGGTATTTACAGTGTTATTCCAAAAACAGTAACATGGTATGAAGCGATAAACCTGTGTTCTCAAAGCGGAGGATACTTGGCGAGTGTCCATGACCAAAATGGTCAGCTCTTCCTGGAAGATATCGCAAAACGGGATGGATTTCCGCTATGGGTTGGGCTCTCAAGTCATGATGTGAGTATTGTTCCGTTTTCCAGAAATTTTCCAAATGTGTTAGAGGTTTAGAAATTTGAGCCAAAAATGTTAATTTGAAATATAACATCAGATTGAGTCCTAGGGCTCAATTTGCATGGCATGGTGCTTTCTTATCTTTTCACAAATAGGACAAATAGAAAATTATATTTGTAGAGTGCACTATAGCAAATGCCCAGGACCACAGCCCCCCTAAACACTGCCAGGACCCTGTAGATTACCAACTCAGCCACACTCTGTAATCTGCTTGGGGGACCAATCAAAGCATTGGTGAAGAAAGAATGGTAGCACCGAATCAGAACAGCCCTGAGTTCCAGAACTAGTGCTGGAGCTTCCATTTACCTGCCAGGTGACTGTGGGCAAGTTATTTGACATTCACAAGCTGATTTCCTCATTGATAAAATTTTGGAGTGATAATATTTTCCTTAATCTAGGATTATAGTGAAAATTAACATAAAAATTGATATAAGGTGCCACATAAAATTCTTAGCATTAGGACTAGTAAATGTATATTTTCTTTTAACTTTCCCCCTAGAAATTAGCACTATTTGAGAATAATCTTCTGCTGATAAACACATCTTTTTTGCCACTAAGTCCTATTAATTAATAGTTTTGTGTACCTATAAAAATTTTAGAATACAAAAATTAGACTCTATTGAGATTAGAATTGAAATAATCTTTAGAACAAAGTGGGGAAAGTAAAATAAAGGATGGCAAAATAGGATTATAGAATCAAGGAAAAATCAGAAGTATAATCTTCATGTGTGAGGTTCTTAGGAAGTAGTTTCCCCTTCCATCCCTCTGCTGGTTGCTGGGTTCTGTAATTAGAAAAAAAAAATGTAGCCAGAGACACAAACCACAAAACTCTAAAATATAAAAAATAATACTTACAATAATATCTGTTGGAATTGCAAATCTGTAATTGTGACAAGTGGAAGCCATTTGCACGTTGGTTAATTTCAAGTGTTACATTAACTCACCCTTAAATAAGAATAAATTTGGAGACAGAGTGAAGTAACTGTCTCTAGATTTAAATTCCTACTTCAGTTGTGTCAGAGCAAATGTTTCAAATCAATGCATTGAAAGTGAATCCCTGATTTTACAAATAGGTCCTGAACTACATTTGTGAGCAAATAATTAACGCTCCATTCCACTAGTTCTTAAAGCATATATGTTCTTGTTTGTGGGTTTTTTTTTAAGTCATACGTCTAGATTCAAGTTCTCTCCATTATTCTTAACACAGGGAACAGAATCAGATTTTGAGTGGTCCGATGGCAGTGCATTTGACTACATCCCGTGGAAGGATGAGCAGTCTGCTGGAAATTGTGTTCTCCTGGATCCGAAAGGAATTTGGAAACATGAAAAATGCAACTCTTTTAAGGACGGCGCTATTTGTTACAAACCTACAAAAGGTAAGACTTGATTTCAAATAACTGTATATTTACTAAAATATGATGTTTGTTTTATGCATTGGATTAAGTGCTCAAAGAAATTTTTATAGATTTTACATAAGGTATATTCACAAATCCTATAAATACAACTGATACTTTGTAAAGAGAAATAAATGCAATATACTCATTCAGGGAATTTATTCTCAAAGACATTCAGTTCTATCACTAGGTAAGTTTTATCTCTAGAATTTGTGAATTTTAATTTCACTTAGCAGTATTTTCAAAAGCTAAGATGCTTCTTTTTTTTTTTTTATTGTCGACACTATTTTAGATGCCACCATTCCCCACCTTCTGTCCACCTCCACCCAGTCTTCATACTCCCCACTTCCTTCTGGCCATCACCACACTGTTTTTTTTTTAGAGAGAGAGGGAAATATAGGGAGAAAGAGAGGGGGAGAAACACTGATGTGTGAGAGATACATCAACGGTTGGCTCTTGCACATACCCCAACCAGGGACCAGCCTGCAACCCAGACATGTGCCCTGACCAGGAAATTGAACCTGAGACCTTGTGCTTTGCTGGATGACACTCAACCAAGTGAGCCACAGCAGTCTGGGCACCGCACTTCTTTTTAGAAAGTGTTGCACAGCATGGAATTTGGGAAATGCCTCAGGTACTCTACCCTATTGGTAGCTGTGAGAGTTTCTATAGTAAAGGAATCTGCTGCACTTTGTGTAACCAAGCATTTTCCAAACCTACCATATTTTAGCACATATAATGTGCTCCTGTGCATAATGCGCACCCATGTTTTTGGCCCAAACTTTCAGAAAAAATTTTTATAAATTCATTTTCATTTTTTAATTCAATTTTTATTTATTTGTACTTAGAAACAAAACTGATTACATGTTATAGGGTATTATTTTGCACACAGATATTGTTACTGCTTTTTAGAGTTATACTTTTAACACGCATGCATAAATAAGTTAATTACAAACATTTATATAGATACAGAATTAGTACTATACTGTATGAAGTGCATCTGTATTTTTCCTTCCAAAATTTGGGTAAAAAGAATGTGCATTATACATATTAAAATACGATATAAGATCCTTAAAATCTAAGGAAAGGCCCCGTTCCATCAGGGGCTGGAGTTGGGCGCATTTCTGGTGGGTAGAGCGTGAATTTGAGGAAGAGCAGAAGAACCTAGACCATGTGGGAGCTGCGGAGGCATGCTGGGCCGGCCCAGGCATGGTGGGGGCGATGGTCTTTGAAGCTTCTGGTTCTCAGTGTCTGCCATGTTTTCTGCTCCAGAGAATCTTCAAGAGACTGTATAACATTCAGAACTGAACAGATTCAGGCAGAGGGAAATATGAAAACCTTATCTAGAGAAACAAATGAACTCAAGAAAGGGAGAATGATGTAAAGCTTGAGTGATAAAGGCACAATCAAGAGCTGACATCTCAGTTGTGAGGTACAGAAAATAAATACAGTCTTTAAAAACAATAACAACAACAACTAGAGCCCTGGCTGGTGTAGTTCTGTCAGTTGGAGCATCATCCCATCAACTGAAAAGTCACGGTTTGATTCCCAGTCAGGACACATGCCCGGGCTGTGGGTTCTCTCCCCAGTCAGGGTGCATGAGAGGCCACTGATCAGTGTTTCTCTCTTCCATCAATATTTCTCTCCCTCTCTCTCTCCCTTCCCCTCTCTCTAAAAGCAATAAGCATACCCTGGGGGGAGGGTTTTAAAAAATTAGAATACATGAGAAATAGGATAATGCATGCAGAAATGGAGAGTACATCTGTGTGAGAGAAACAGACTTTACAGGTTGAAGAGGAATGCCAACATAGTCAAACAAAAATTCAGTATTGTACTGGGTTGAATAGTGTCCCTTCAAAATTTATGTCCACTCAGAGCATGACCTTACTTAGAAACAGTCCTTGCAGATGCAGTTAATTAGGATAAGGCCATACTCAACTAGGATGGGCCCTACATCCAATGGCACTGTCCTTGTAAGAGGAGAGAAGGCACACAGGGGAGAAGGCCCTGACGGCGGAGGCAGAAGTTCCAACAATGCAGCTACAAGCCAAGGATCGACAGCAGCCACCAGAAACAGAACATGCACAGAACGGATTCTCCCTCAGACCCTCCAGAAGCAAACACCCTATTTGCAATCTTCTAGCTTCTAAAACTGTAAGAAAATAAATGTTTGTTATTTTAAGCCATCAAGTATATGGCCATTTATTATGGCAGCCCTGGGAAACTGATACAAGAGAGACAACTTATAAAACTGGGTCTTCAAAACAGAGAGAGAGAGAGAGAAAAAAAAAGAAAAGAAATGGAAGGGGAAGGAAGGAAGGAAAAAACAAGTGTCTGTGAAATTGTGGAGAAACTGCAACTACTGGGCATTTTTTGTGAGAATATAAAATGGTGTGTAGCCACTGTGGAAAATGGCATGGTATTTTCTCAAAAAACGTAACATAAAATTACCATATGACCCTACAATTCCACTTCTGCATGCAAATCCAAAAGAAATGAAAGCAGCGATTTGAACAGAATTTGTGCAGCCATGTTTAAAGAAGCATCATCGCAATAGTGAAAAAGGTAGGAGCAAGCCACGTGTCCACTGATGAAGGAATAGATAAGCAAAATGTGGTATATACATATTATAGAATATTCTTCAGCCTCAAAAAGGAAAAAATCTGACACATAATACAACATGAATGAACCTTGAAGAACCATAACTCACTCACAAAAGGACAAATATTATATGATTCCACTCATATGAGGCACCTATAACTTTCAAATTCCTAAAAACAGAAAGTAGATTGGTGTTTACAAGAGGAGTGGAAGGAATAGTTATTATTTAATAAGTACGGAGTTTCAGTTTTGCAAGATGAAGAGGTTCTGTAATGCAGATGTACTTAATGCCACTGAACTGCGCACTTAAAATAGTTACAATGGTAAATTTTAAGTTATGTGTATTTTACCACAATAAAAAAAAATTAAATGTTCTTAAAAAGGAATATTACCTCAATGCTGACCCTTGCAGGAAAAAATGCACAAGTTGAAAATAAAACTCCATGAGTAGCAGTAAAGAAAGAAAACGTATGCAGCCTAATTGAGCTCAGATGCAGAGGGGACTGGAAACAAATAGACTTTGAATATGTGCCTCCCTGTGTTCCCAGTATAAGAAGAAACTTTATTAAAAGCGAAGCCATTCAGAAAGGTCCACCAGCCTTAACCATGCATTGGTAGCTGATGCTTAATGTGTTTTACATCTAATGAAGGGACACACATCATTGCCTTGTGCAACGAAGGAGTCATCAGCAGTATATTTTCACAAGAAACATCTCCCTCCATCAGCAGTGTTAATGAAGAGCCATCGCAAGTCTTACAGACTTTACAGATGAATTTGTCAATGAGCTTTGATCATCACTCACTAGGAAACTTACTCAGGAGTTATCAACTGTCAGACTGAATGAAGACTTAGAGCTCATGCCTTGGCTGGTGTGGCTCAGTGGATTGACAGCCGGCCTGTGAACCAGAAGGTTGCTGGTTCAATGCCCAGTCAGGGCACACGCCTGGGTCTTGGGCAAGGTGCCCAGTAGGAGGTGCATGAGAGGCAACCACACATTGGTCTTTCTCTCCCTCTTGTTCTCCCTTCCCCTCTGTCTAAAAATAAATAAATAAATGAAATCTTTTTAATAAAAAGACTCAGGGCTCAAACCAAGGGCATTAATGGGAAGAATGGCGGCAAAAGCCAATCGAATAACTAAAGCTCGAAGAAGACCAAGCCCAGCTGGAGAAACAGAAGGTAGAGAAGCAGAAGAAGGAATTAAGAGCAGTCAGAAAGTCTGTCTCTAAAAAACATTTTTTTAGCATCACCCGAGAATATGTTTTTTCATTGCCTTTAGAGAGAGAGGAAGGGAGATAGAGGAGCATCGACTGGTTGCCTCCCATAAGCATCTGGTCCTAGGATTGTACGTGCCGGGACAGGGGCCGACCTGATGGGGAATCTCACTCGCAACCCTACGGTCATGGGATGAGGCTCCAACCAGCGGAGCCACACCAGCCAGGGCAGAAAGCCTCTTGATAAGGAAGAAAACGGTAGCAGCCATTCTTCTGGAATCACAGGGACCAAAAATAAGAGCTCTAGGTAACTGGGATTGGAGGAAAAAAGCAGGAAAAGGCTTCAGTAACTGAAAGACATGTAGAGCATAAGTAATGCGTACACGGGAATAGGCTGGGTTGGGATCACTGACCTTCCCAGGTCCCATCTCGACTCCGGTAGCCTGTACCTCACAGGAGGATGCTGACAATGTACTTTCTAGTTCTCATACTCTTTTCTGTGTAGGTTAGAATCCTGATATGAGGCACAGGCTTTGTTACACAGGCTTCTTGTCTTTTTAAAAATATTTTATTTATTTATTTTTAGAGAGAGGAGAAGGGAAAGATAAAGAGAGGAAGAGAAACATCAATGTGTGGTTGCCTCTGGTGTGCCCCCTACTGAGGACCTGGCCTGCAACCCAGGCATGTGCCCTGACTGGGAATCGAACCAGCAATGCTTTGGTTGGCAGGCCCATGCTCAATCCACTGAGCTACACCAGCCAGGGCACAGGCTTCTTGTCTTATGTAGCACAATTAAAATTGAACATTTTAAATAAAAACCAGGGAAGTTTTTAAAAGCTGAGAAGCTACACCTAACTCTCTTTGTGCTTGAGACAGATTTTCTTTGATGACGGATTGCATTTTGTAAACACATTACCAAATTTTCACTTGTGGCTGTGATTTTTTAAAGTAGTTCTGATTATGACAAGGTAAAATGAGTTTATATTATCAAAATAAAAAGGAATCCAAAGAAAGAAAGAATTTTAATTATTATTTCAAAGTAGTTCTAGGCCTGCCTAGCCTGTCTGTACTTCTTTTCCTGTTGTCATTCCATTTGTTTATTTAGTCTAAATCCACCTTAGATGGGCAAGTACTTTCATATATCCTCCAAGTTTTAAAAATGGTATTCCAGCCCTACTGCTGTGGCTCAATGGATTGGGTGTCACCCTGCAAATGGAGGGGTCACCAGTTCTATTCCCAGTCAGGGCACATGACTGGGTCGCAGGCCAGGCGCCCAGCTGGGGGTGCGCAAAGGGTGAATGATCGATGTTTCTCTTCCTCTCTTTCTGCCTCCCTTCCCCTCTCTCTAAATATATATAAACAAAGTCTTTTTTAAAAATGATATTCCAAAAAAGCTAATCAAAATATATACTGCCAGAGTATGGGCTATAGCTTTCTCTGGTGCGTGTATTGAGTTGAATACTTCTTAACCCCAGGAGCCAGTTTCAAATGGGAACATTAAATGAGGTTTTTAAAGTCGGTCATTTTATTCTGTGCATTTTTACACTTTTCTCACATTGTATAGCTAAAGAGGCATCCTCTCACACATACTCCTCAAGATGCCCAGCGGCCAATGGGTCACAGTGGGTCCAGTACAGGGACCACTGCTACGCGTCTGACCAAGCGTTGCACAGTTTCTCAGAAGCCAAGCAGTTTTGTTCAGCACTCGGTGAGTTCAAGTTCATTGATTTTATTTGACTCAATGTTTTAATCATTGGAGTTTTTGTAAGAAATAATTCAAAATGATGATTATGTATATTTATATATTTTAGAGTATTATGGATTTAATAGCAGTTGATGGAAATATATAAATTAGGGTTAGAATGTTCCCGTTTGGTAAAGTTACTACATTCTTATGCTGATACTCCTCTGCTTACAATGGGATTATGTTCCAGTAAACCAATCATAAATGAAAATATTGCACCTTATGTCAAAAATGTTTTTGATACTACATTGCAGAGAGAGTATCAGTCATTTACCCTGGAGATACCATGGCTGACCTAGCACTCACTGTTTATAATAGCTCTGCAACCTAATTACCGAGTGGTGGCAAAGTGGTTCCATCTTTTATGATATATGACCTCAGTGGAATATTGGAATAGCCATTAAAAATAATGAATCTAAGAATAAGTACAAGGAAAATAAAAGTCGGTGGGTGGAAGTAGAATGAAAATCGCTAAGTGAATTGTTATGTTAAAATACTAGCAAAATGAAAACAGTTTTAAATACACCTAGGTATGCTGAGATAAAGGGATCAAGAAGTAAATTTTTTGTAAACTTGGTTAAGTAGTAAACACAAAATTGTTGGTTTTTCCATTACTTAGTTGCTAATAAATAAGCTTAGTCTGCTTAGGGTCACAAATCAAAGCAACGTGGGCTGTTAACTATTCTGCAATAGCAATGGCTCACATCATCTGAACAGGATAAGGAGCAGGACTGTTCTCTTCAGATATAACTGAATATATTAGAGAGAGCAGCAATGATGGACTCTCTCCCATGATAAAGGAGACCTGTACCCAAAAGTAGGTAGCAATTTAGCTGGGCAGATGGGATTTATCTCATTTATTTTGCTGTTGTAGAGACATTTGGTCGATTTTAAAATCTTGTTACTGCCTAACTACATGATAGGAACTTTTCTGTGGAAACTGTTCTGTGTTATACATGTATAACACAGATATATCAGGTCTGTCCAGAAAAAGTCCAACCATTGTTAACATAACGAGAACAGTTTGTGCAACATCAGTGTAGCCTGGTAGCCGAGGAGAGTGGAATAGAAAGCACATGCATGACCAATGACAGCACCACTGTACTATCAGTGTGGGCAGTAGATGCTGTTGTGTGAGTGAGTGTGTGTATTGTGCGGCCGTCACATTCAAAATGACTGAGCAAGTAGAGCAATGAATCTGCACCAGATTTTGTGTGAAGCTTGAACATTCCTCTGAGGAAACTATTCAGATGATTCAGAAGGCCACAGCCATGGGCCACTGGTGATTGGCAGCGTCATAACGACTCCGCACCCACACATGCATCACGTCTAGTGCAAAGTTTTTAGTGTAACAGCAAATCACCCAGGTGACTCAGCCCCCTACAGCCCAGAGTTGGCACTTCTGGCTTTTCCCAAAACTAAAATCATTTTTAAAAGGCAAGAGATTTCTGACCATTGATGAGATTCAGGAAAATACAGTGGGGCAGCTGATGGCAATTGGGAGAACTGTGTGATGTCCCAAGGTGCCTACTTTGAAGGGGACTGAGAAATCATTGTCCTTTGTGCAGTGTTTCTTGTATCTTATATCTTCTTCAATAAATGTTACTGTTTTTCATATTACATGGCTGTGTACCTTCTGGACAGACCTTGTATATAAACACATGCATATACATGTATAATAGATAGATAGATAGATAGATAGATAGATAGATAGATAGATAGATAGATAGATACACACACATATGATGGGAACTACTGTGAGCTATATATGGGTTCTGAAAGTTAGAAGCCTCTTGCTCCTAAAGGAGAAAAATAGAAAGGTTTACTGTCATTGTACTGTGGGTATTAAACACTAAAAGTTTAGAGTCAGACAGGTCTTGGTTCAGATCCAGCTACCACACATACTAGCTGAGTGATATTATAGAAGTTACTATATATAATTGTTTCTCTTTTCTCACCTGAAAATGGTCAGAATGAAAATACAGATGACCCTTAAACAATGAGTGGGTTAAGGGCACTGGGCTCCATGCAGTGGAAAATCCGTGTGTAACTTTTGACTCCCCCCAAATTTACATTCGTTCCTTAGTATCTGTGGAGATTAGTTTCAGGACCACTCCCACCCACCACTCAGCCAGCCCCGCCCCCCCAGCAGATTCAAAATCTGCAGATGCTCAAGTTCCTTATATAAAATGACATAGCTCGGTGAACACAACTGGCCCTCCACATCAGAAGATTCTCGATGCCAGGTAGAAAATACTGGTTTTTATCCAAGGTTGGTTGAATCTGAGGATGCGAAACACAGAGTTACAGAGTTCTGACTATATTTATTGAAAAAATAAATCCGTGAATAGATGGACCCTCACAGTTCAAAGCCATTTTTGAACAGTGATCCATAGTTCTTAGTTCAGAGTTTGGGTGAAGATTGGGTTGTTGTCATGATAAATGAGTTCACATTTGCAAATGTAGAACAGTGCCCTGTAAATAGTGAGCATTTTAACCTATTCTTACTATTAGAAACATCAGATTGGCCTTCTAGTTCTGTAATTGGCTTGCTGTGTAAACCTAACCAATTTACAGACTCTCCTTGAGCCTCAGTTTTGTCATCTGTAAAATAATGATAATATCTTCTCTATAGCATTATGTAATGTTAAACAAGGCAACAACAGATAAAGTACCGGCACACCTTGGTGATCTCTACTGGAGTAAAGGCTTCCCTTCACTCTCCTTGATACGCCCTTCCACAAAAGTTCAAGTATGGATAGGCTTGTTGCTTCTGAAGACTGATTCCATTTAGGATTGATGTCCAAGTCTAGTTATTATTTTATTTCCCTCCCTTGCCTGATGCTAGTGACAGCACAATGTTTTCTGTAGGTTAAGGGCAACCTATCCAACTTCAAGAATATTCACTCTCTCAATTCCATACTACATTTAGGAACTTACAATGGGCATGACCAAATGCACATATGTATAAAATAATATACATATTTTAGGCTAATGAAAGAAAGGCTAATGGTCCCCAATATTCCATACCTATTTGACTTAATTTTTAACAGAAATAAATTTATGCAAAAATTATTGTTGAAGAGAGAGTGCTAAAAATCTATAGAGAAATACATGTTTCTACCATCACATACCCCACTTCTTATGATGAGCTGTTCATACATGAAAGTCTCATTGGTTAGACAGCTCTGAGATTTTTTTAAAGACAAAAATTTCTTTATACAAACTTTCAATCTAGAAATATGTCTAAACTTTAAAGATCTGAAAATATCAGATTTTATATATATATTTTATTGATTATGCCATTACAGTTGTTCTATTTCCCCCCTTCATTCCCCTCCACTCTGCATACCCCGCCCCCACCATTCCCCCCCTTTAGTTTATGACTATGTGTCTCAAGTTCTTTAGATTCTATATTTCCCCTACTATTCTTGCCTTCCCTCTATCTATTTTCTGCCTACCCTCTATGCTACTTATTTTCTGTACCTTCTCCCCCCTTCTCCTCCTCCCACTCCCCTGATGCTAACCCTCCATGGGATCTTCATTTCTATGGTTCTGCTCCTGATCTAGCTGTCCTCTTAGTTTGCTTTTGGTTTAGGTGTGGTTGTTAATAACTGTGAGTTTGCTGTCCTTTCACTGTTCATCTTTTTTATCTTCTTTTTCTTAGATAAGTCCCTTCAACATTTCATATAATAAGGGCTTGGCGATGATGAACTCCTTGAATTTGATTTTATCTGAGAAGCACTTTATCTGCCCTTCCATTCTAAAAGAAAGCTTTGCTAGGCAGAGCAATCTTGGTTGTAGGTATTTAGATTTCATGACTTGGAATACTTCTTTCCAGCCCCTTCTTGCCTGTAAGGTCTCTTTTGAGAAACCTGCTGACAGTCTGATGGGAACTCCTTTCTAGGAGGGGACAGTCTAGGATTCTCTCCTTCATGTTAATCTTGGCTAATGTAATGATGATGTGCCTTGGTGTGTTCCTCCTTGGGTCCAACTTCTTTGGGACTCTCTGTGCTTCCTGAATTTCCTGGAAGTCTATTGCTTTTGCCAGATTGGGGAAGTTCTCTTTTATTATTTGTTCAAATAAGATTTCCACTCGCACTTTCTCTTCCCCTTCTGGTACCCCTATAATTCGGATGTTGGAGCATTTAAAGATGTCCTGGAGGTTCCTAAGCCTCTCCCCATTTTTTTGAATTCTTGTTTCTTCATATTTTTCTGTTTAGTCATTTTATTCTTCCTTCTGGTCCACTCCCTTGATTTGAGTTCCAATTTCCTTCCCATCACTATTTATTCCCTGTACACTTTACTTTATTTCAATTTTCATGGCCCTCACTTTTTCCTCTATTTTGTGACCATACTCAACCAATTTTGTGAGCATCCTGATCACCAGTGTTTTCAACTGTGCATTTTATAGGTTGGCAATTTCTTGTTCGCTTAGATTTATCGGCTCTGGTGCTCTGAGTTCTTCTTGAGCCATGTTTTGGTCTGTTCGCACCTGTTACTTATGAGGAGAGGCACCTCAGGTGTTCACCAGGGCAGGGTGACCCAGGTCTCTGGGTTGTGATGCTGTATGTGGGGGCAGGGTCAGAGAGGGAGCAATGGCAGTCCCCTCTGCTGCTTCCCACCACTGGGACCTGCTCGATCTGTCTCACTGCTTGCTCCTTCGCTGGTTTATCTGCATGCAAATGTGTGACCAAGATCAGCCAGCTGCCTTGCACCCTCAGTGGGTCTACCCGTTGCTACTCCACACCTGGGATTCGTCCTCGGCTGCCTGCGTGTCTGGGTCAGGGACCTGGGTCACGCACCTGTGTGGGTCTGGTGGCTCTTTCCTGCCCGGCCCCGCTCCCCTGCTGGCTGTGCCCCTCTTACCAGTCTGGCTGAGTGGTTCATTGTTGCCAGACTTCCATATAGTTCAATTTTCTGTGGTTTGACTACATTTTTGTTGTTCAAACTTTGTTGTTTTTAAACTTGGTTGTACGAGAAGGTACAGTGTTTCCACCTACGCCTCCATCTTGGCAGAAGTCCCAAAATATCAGATTTTTAACATATTCTCTGTGTAAATGTTGAATTTTCAGTGATCTTGATTATGAAAAAAATTTAAATGTCTAATTAAGAATAAACCACTAACTTAGATTGTATGAAGTTAATTCGTTTAGGACTGTTTTCCTTCAACAGATCATTCTGCAGCTGTTGTTACCATAAAGGATGAAGATGAGAATAAGTTTGTGAGCAGACTGATGAGGGAAAATAATAATATTACCATGAGAGTTTGGCTTGGATTATCTCAGCATTCCTCCGGTAAGTGACATCTCTGTGTAGGCAGTGCACAAGGGGAGTTCTGACTTGTCCTAAACACCAAAGCAGCCTTGCTAAGAATGGCAAATGGGTTCTAATCCAAATGCTTCTGATGGATGAATAAGCTGGGTCTGCTGGCTGCTTTGCAGGCTTATAAATTCCTAATGAATAAGTAAGAGCATAGCTTATTAATAATGGTGGAAAACACCAATGAAACAGAAAATCAGTTGAAGCCAACTGAATTTGTTAGAGATTTAAGATCATTGGATCAACAGGATTTTTTTCCTTTTCCAGCAATGTCTATGTCCTCCATTCTGCTTCAAAGGTTCTGTTACTTACTTCCCTTAGAATTCTCATGGCTGTCTCTCCAAGTGTTTCTGGCTTATAACTCTGTGATTCAGAAAGTTCTCTTCTTCTTGTTTCCTTCCTTGTTGGAACATTTTACCATAAAGCAAAATTAAATCTTCATAGTAAATTTTTTTCAAACTAGCTTAGTAAGATGGCAAAGAATTGGTTCAACAAGATCTGTGGAAGAATTTTTCTATAAAAAACAACAGGTACAGGGTTTGAGTGAACTTGAAGTTGATAAAGCATGAATTCAGGTTACACATGCAATAGAATACTAGGAAGTGTGTCTCACATTTTATGTAAAGTTTAATTCTGAATATTTGAAATAAATGTAAATTTTGAAATGTTAAGTACTTGTCAAAAAGAGAATGGATTCCACGTTGCCCAGCTATGAATTGTAAATTATGTTTACACTACCACCACAAGGTGGTGCAACCTTGGCTGGAAAATAAAGATGGAGTCATGGTAGAGAGACCCTCCTGGACCCTTCCCCACCAGCATATACCTTTAATGATAGGAGCTTTTTCATTGCTGGAGGGAAGGGGAGGGAGATCCAGGTCTTTTAGAAATCTGTCTCTCACATAATGTATGTGTGAGAATTCTGCACTGTAATGAAAACACTGCATTCCGTATCAGTGTTGTCTAATAGAATTTTCTGCAAAGGTGAAATTGTTCTGTATCTGTCCAATACAGCAGTCACTAGCCACAGTGACTCAAAATGTGACAAGTACAACTGATGGACTGATTTTAAATTTTTTCACTTTTAATGAATTTTGTTTTAAATAGTGGCACAACATTGTATGAGCCATAGTCTTTTTACCTTAGTACTTTAGTGGCAAGAAACATAATTGCATTTATTTCTTTAGGTCAATCTTGGAATTGGTTAGATGGATCAAAAGTGACATTTGCTAAATGGGCAAATAAGCATAAGAGCAATGGTGGAAAATGTAGCATTTTGTTGGCTTCAAATGAAACTTGGATACAAGTCGAATGTTCACGTGGCTATGGAAGAGTTGTCTGCAAAGTTCCTCTGCGTAAGTGTGCAACTTGTCCTTCAGAAACATTTTTGCAGAACAAGTTAGGAAATAAATGTACAATTTAATAATATGCAGTTTTTTACTTGTTCCTAAAGTATTTAGTACTTAAAATGTCCCCTAAAAATCTGAAGTCATAGAGAGTCATTCCCTAAGAAATATAGATCACAAGTGCCTAGGGCTTCTGGAAGAAAAGACTAAAAGTCTAAATTTTGTTCCAGTCCTTCTTAAGAAAAGCAGAAGCTGCCACCGTATTAGAGGGGTCGTTTCTTTAAAATGTTCTTAAGATGTATTTTTCTCCTCATTTCCTTAAAACTCATGATTGAGTTAAAAATATTATAAAACTTGATTTAATTAATTTAAACGACCTGGGGTTTGATAGGAAATCATAATTTGAGCTTATGTTTCATCATGAGTTGATATGTAAAATAATCATAAAAATCTTAATAACTTCATTTCTAGCAAAAAGGCTCTACATTTTTTCACGGCAACATTTTTAAAGGTCTGGCCTTAAAGTGTCCATTTTGGTGTACAAATATTAAAGATAAGGCCCAGTTCTAGGTCATCAGTATTTCTGTAATTATTTAATGATTCAGCAGATATTTCGGCTCTCTGCATCATGCCCTTTTATAGGTGCTGGGTGCCCCTGTGAACAAGACAATGCAGTAACCTTTTCTTCCTCTGCGGTCTAATGGGGGAAGATGGATAGTAATCAAGTAGGTCCAAATTAAAAGAGAGGGAAATATCAAAGAGCTGTCCACTCTGTGTGATCGAGACCTGGTGGATGGCCACGCTAGACTGGGTTATTAGGGAAGATGCCTAAGAGCAGGAGACACCGAAGCTGAGATCTGCCCAAGGAAATATCAGTGGGAGAGGCTCACCGGGCAGAAGTACCAGTTGTAGCACTCAGGGAAGAGCTGGAAGGTAGGCCAGGGCCAGGGACTTGGGGCTCTGGAAACAAGTGTCAGGAGTTCGAGTCTGTCCTGAGTAGAATGGAAAACAACTGGGAGCAGGGTTAGGGTGATGTAAACCTGGAGTTCTGTTTTGGCCATTTTGAACTATCCATTTGGAGAAGAGATATCCATATGGGTGCATAGTATGTTGTTGGACATCCGCGAGAGAAGGGAGGTCAGCACAGAGGTGACGGTGAAGCCATAGGACGGAGTGTGTCTGTGTTGGCAGCATGCAGACAGGGGCTAGGGACAGCATTCAAAGGGCTGGGAACTGAGGTCATTCCAAAGGTTTAAATCATTTTAAGGCAAATGGTATTTTTATTTGGCTCTAGGTAAGTCAAACACACAAATTTACAGCTTTTAGCAATTTGCCATCAAAGTAGGGAAATATACTGGGAGTGATATTCTCAACAGAGTGATGAGAAGCAAAGTGAGAAAAACGATAGTGCTTTGGCTTCTTTGGAAGAAAATTGCTATACCAATGAAGAGGGTTTGAGTGAAAAGGAACAGAGTTAAATTTGTGGGGGGAAGGAGGCACTTAAGTGTTTGACAGTGATTTCTAGTTCTGTGTTCATGCTGCGAAGCAGTCAGGTACTCATTGCATTCGATTTGCACAGGCTTCACTTATGTGACACACGGCCACACGTACAGAACCAGTAATGGTCCTCCAGCGTCAAACCCTTCTCTCTTCTAGGCCCTGATTACAGAGGAGTGGCTGTCGCGTTTGCTGTGCTGGTCCTTTTGGCTCTCGTTGGAGGGCTGATTTGGTTCCTCTCCAAAAGGAACTCTTTGCCCTGGGCAAGCTTCTCTTCAGTTCGATATGAAAAAGGAATGAATGAAGATGAGATTATGCTTCCTTCTTTCCGTGACTAATTTCTTCTAAAAGTTTGCTAATTTGCACTAACATTTTAGGAAAAATGAGCCATTTAAAACTTTCCCAGTGTCAGTATTTACTCTGTTCCAAAGTACAAGTCTTAAGTACTTTTTCAATTGTCTAGTTGTTATTCCAGTATCCACATTTAATTATTCAAAAATGCCATGTTTATAACTCTACTTAACAGAATGGAAAGGAACCAAAGCTGAAACTGAAGTCCAAATTGTGTTCATAGGCTGGTAATTTCAATGTGCATTTCTCTGTAAGAGTGTGGTTGGTAACTAGAATATGTATGTTTTTTGGGTTTTTTTAAATATTTTTTATTTATCTTTGGAGGGGGAAGAAAGGAGAGAGGGAGAGAAATATCAATGTATGGTTGCCTCCCGTGTGGGGAACTAGCCTGCAACCCAGACATGTGCCCTGACTGGGAATTGAACCGTGGTTGCTTGATTCCCAGGCCTACACTCAATCCACTGAGCTACACCAGCCAGGGCTTAGAATATGTATGTTTTAATGACACTTTAACACAATTCCTCAGAAAGTTTTAAATTGGCATATTACTAGGTCACACATCTCCCTTTTAGTTTTTATGAACTTCTGGCCAAATGCAAAATTACTACCTCAAGGTAAAAACAGAACTGGAAGTAGTATCAACATCATTTCAAAATGTCATTTGTAGCCCTGACTGGTGTGGCGCAGTGGGTTGGGTGTCTTCCCACAAACCGAAAAGCAGTTCGACACCTGGGTTGCGACCCAGGTTCCCAGTTAGGGGTGCGTGAGAGGCAACCAGTTGATGTTTTTCTCCCTTGCTTACCCTCTCTCTCCAAAAATAGATAAATAAAATCTTTTAAAATGACATATGTAGCATTTGGGGAAAATTATTAAATGAGAGGCATGCTTATTTTTTACACAGCAGAATGATACCTTTTGGCAAGATGCTTCTTCTAGCACTTCATATATATATTATACCAAAATTATTTAAATGTGAAACCTTTATTCTGCCCATAATTATTCACAAAAATGTGACTTTTAAAAAGGATTTAGTACTTAGTATTTTTTTAAAGTATGAGAATATTATTAGATTCATTAGATACCATGTAGCAGTGTGGTTTTTATACTTTCTTATGTACAATGTATACCTGTTTTTTTAAAAGAGAATAGGCTAAAAGGTTTTTTTTTTAATTTTATGATTTATATAACTTACATGGCATGTCAACTTTTTGACTAAGAAATTTTTATTACTTTATTGACTTTTTACATGAGCTAAAGAGAAGTGGTCTGTAAAAGAAATTATATATCTTATATTTATAAACATGAAAATTATACAATGAAACTCTAAACTTTGTGATTACTACCAAAATATTTAAAATCATGAATGATTAAGGAAACACTGTTTTGTGGTTATCGCTTTAAATTTTACCAACTAGAATATATTCTTAATAATAGCTTCCACTGGACCTGGTGAATGTTTTATTCAGTTTTTAACTTATATTTGTACTTTAGAATATTTTTGTATAAAATCCATAGATTTGTTTTAAAGTTTAGAGTGTTTATACTATGATGAAGTTGTAAATAATTATCTAAGACGGTTCCAGTATAGTCAAACTATAGTATAATTGTTCTAAAATATTTTTTACTGAACTTGTTACACTAGTACTCTAGCCAAGTTTAGGCATTAAGACTTTCTTCAGGATGGCTGTTGAGGGGGGAGTCCTAGGGGGGTGGGAGACTTTCTTCAAAGAACTAAACCAACTTGATGGGAAAAATACAGCTATATGCAGTAATTATGCTGCAATAAATTTGCCTTTTTAAGTAAAAGTGTTGTGGATCCGCCCCAGACAGTGTGGCTCAGTTGGTTGGGAGTCATCCTGCAAAGCAAAAGGTCACCGGCTCGATTCTTGGCCAGGGCACATGCCCCGGTTGCAAGTTCCGTCTCTGGTCAGGGAACATATGGAAAGCAGCCAATCAATGTTTCTCTCTCACACTGATGATTGTCCCCCTCTGTTTTTTTCTCCCTTCCTCTATCTCTAAAAAATCAAAAATCAAAAATAAATGTAAAAAAAGCATTGTTGATTCTTGTTTAAAAATTTTTTTCAAGATTGGGCTTTATCATGTTAGGTATATAGTATAATAAAGTGACCAGCTATTGTAAAGCAAGGCATCCTTTAGATTCTGTGTACTTTTTAAAGAATAAATATAATCCGCCCTGGGTGGTGTGGCTCAGTGTTTGAGTGCTGGCCTGGGAACCAAAGGGTCACCAGTTTGATTCCTAGTCAGGGCACATGCCTGGGTTGCAGGCCAGGTCCACAGTAGGGGGTGTGTGAGAAGCAACCACACATGATGTTTCTCTCCCTTTCTTTCTCTCTCCCTTCCTCTCCACAAAAATAAAATTAAAAATATATATAATCCTACATTTCTGAATGTTTGACTTTAGTCTCTTTTTCAGATTCCTCTGAATCAGCACGTGTTTTAACTATCGGATCAGTAGAAATTCCATTTATGATCTACTTCTCATTCTTTGTCCTCCCCTCAGGAGATCTTGTCCACTACCTCTCACCCCAAGGAATTCATCAACCTCTTCTCCATCAATAGCTCAGATATCTAGTTCCACATTCATATTTCCAACTCCCCATGGACAGTCTACATGAACGTCCTTCTCAACGTGGCTTATAGGGTGTTCCCTTCCCATTTCCTCCTATTCAGATGTGTCAGGAGAACTGAACACAGCCTTTTAGTCTTCTATAACTAACCCAACTCCCACGTGTGGTCTGACAAAATCAATCTCTCAAAACCAAGCAGTTGAAAATATAAGCAAATAGACCTCATGACCAAGGTGTAGCAGACAAATTCAGAAGTGCTAACAGTGGTCACCCTCTTCTTTCCCCCCCACACACATGTTCCCTTCCCTGATCCTGGAGCAAGATCTTTTCCCTGCCTGAGAATCTCTGCAGATGACTGACTACTGCAGTGTTGGTGACCCCTAGTCCTGACCCCACTGCTGAGTGTATGCTAGGGAAAATGAGAGGTTCAGATTCCTTTATCTTAGGGTTGTTTAATCCTAAAACCTCCTTAAAGAAACGAAGGTCTAATTGTTATTAATAACTTTTATTTTGCCAAAGAAGACAAATTTTAACCATATCTTAAAGACATTTTTTCTATGAAACCTTATGATC